TACAGCGCCATCTATACCAATACTTTTGTTTTCCCTCGGGAATATCAAATTTTTTCGGGATAAAAAGTACCCTATTATTTAATCCAGACTACTAACTTTACGGCTGCAAAAATTCAATGCAATCGGTTTAGTAGTTACGGCGTGAAGTCGGAACAAACAAACAAACTCACTTTCCGATTTATAATATTAGTAAGGATTGTTAACTAGCTTCTACCAGTGGTTTCGCTCATGTTCTCAGAGATAAATACCCTATGTGTTACTTCAAACCATGATCTACCTCTGTGTCAAATTTCATCTCGGTCTCTTCAGCCGTTTTAATATGACTGAGTAACAAACATACACACAAACACAAAACTCACATACTTTCAAATTTATAATATCGGTTCAAGCTAATTCCAACCATCGGCCCTACAGTTACAGCGTAAAGTCCACTGCTGCAAGCTAACATTCGACAAACTTATGTATATTTGCATTTAGAACAGTAACTGTGTCTAGGGATTGAGCCGCACAATTAAGTTTGTATTTTTATCTATGCACTTTTTCGGAATAAAAAGTACCAAGTGCTGTGCTCAGTATATTAAAGTACATTCATACCAAGTTTCATCGTAATCGGACCAGTGGTTTTTGCGTGATACGTGAACATACGAACAGACAAATATTTTTTATTCGCTTTTTTGGTTTCGGTACCTACCTATCACACACACAAACAGATATATTTCAATGTACAGAATTTACACTTCTATAGTTTTATTATATGTATTACTGTACTTGGTTTCTACGTACATACATACATACATACTGATGTAATCACACAACTATTAGTGATGTTATAAGTACTTCTTTGTTCTACAATGAAAGTGTCAAAAACTGGTGTTAGTAGCCTCTTTCTGTTTATCCATGATAGCTGTAATAATAGGGACGATGACGGGATATGAAAATTGAAAATCTATTCAGTTCGCCAGGTAGGTATGAAAAAATATTAGACACGATTTTTTTTCGTCGTATAAAAAGACAATACTTAGGAAAAGGAATCAAAGTTTAGGAGTGGGTAGTAAATCGTCATTTCTACGTATAAAACGTCCATAGAAGTGACGTCACGAGATATTCCAAATTCACATATCGTAGAAAGTAATTGTTTGTGTAAGAAAAAAATACTTGCTAATGTTTTAATAAAATCTAGCTTACTAAATGACTGTCGTGAAAAGCAACAGCTAACAATAATAACCTCCTTACCTTAATTCTTAATCCTTAACTATCTCTAAATAATCTCTTACAGACGGACAATTATTTCAGTTTCGTTTAACAAAGATAAAGATTCTAAAAATGTCACATTTCTATGTCAGTTAGCCAGAAGAGTGTTCACCATGACCCAGTTTACACAGCAAAATATAACATGTCGTAAAACTGTGATAATAGTCTTAAAAACAAGGAATTGGTTCAAATAGAAATGTTTGGTGATTTGGACTGAGTTTTCTCAAAGCTTTCGTGATGTCTTACTTCAACAGTGCAGTTCAATATGGAGTTATGTGCCAACGCTTTAGCGCTTGTCTACAGAGAGAGTAGAAATCAAAATGTATGGGAAAATTTACGTCAATTATATATAATTTGGTTTTCTACTCTACATGGAGACAAGCGCTAAATTGCATTTGGTTACAGCTGCTGGTTTGGCAGATAGGTTGGAAACAGCAGCGTAAAAAGTTCTCAGAGAGCTGCTGTCCGATGTTTATCCAATATTTAGTTCCTTATACATCTCTCGCGACATCCGCTGGAATTGTAGAGAAGATGACATTAAACCATTAAACTGTCAAACACCATGCGATCATCGGTGACCGCAACCTATTGTTCTTTAATTGTGTCTATAATCACGGTACTCAAAGAGTTAAAATACATATACCTCTTCTATACATTAAAAACTATAAATAAAACTTAAAAACAAAAATAATAAAAGAAAACTAAAAGAACTACTTTACAAAAACCGTCAAAAAATCATTCACATCAAAGTCAATAGACAAATAAAAAAATATTTATGTAATCTTCGAAAAATATAAATAAATGTACGTCGTTTTTACGGATAAATGCTACTGATTTGACTGAATACAAGTATCGGAAGAACCTATTAACAATATATTAATGTCACATTAAAGTATGTTTACTGTAATGAACTGTCACAAGATTTTAAAGATTACCAAAAACATTCACCAATGATTCTTCTCGTTACATCTAGATTTAAAGTTCACCTTGAACACAAAGCATAAGGTTAAGCCATTTGGAGACTAGCATTTCTGTGAAGATTATGATAACCAGCCTCATTTAGTCACTCGTCTCATGATCTCTTCAAATATACCAGTGTTTTAAGTAGATGAGTAGGTAGCTGTATCACTGTAGAAGTATGTAATTTAAGATTATTTATGGTACTCACCATTTTACGCCAATTTGACATAGAAAGAGTAGGTAGAGGTTCTGTAGTTTGTTTCATCAAAAAGATAAATTACGTCATAATATCATCATCATCATCAACAGCTTATAAATTCCCACTGCTGAGCAAAGCCTCTTCTCACACGGAGAAGATTTGAGAATTAATCACCACGCTTGCTCAATGCGGGTTGGCGATTTCAAACTTATAACTAATTAGACATTCTAAGCCCAGGTTTCCTCACGATGTTTTCCTTCAACGTTTGTCAGTGGTGTCTAAATAATCTTAGAAAGTACATATAACTCGGAAAAAGTCACATTGGTTGCCCTGATAGGTTTTGAATCAGCACCCTCATGTATGAGAAATGCGTCATAAACCTCCTGGCCACCACGACGTTACATACACGTCATAGCATCACGGTGTTAATTTCCAGAGTCGTAGGTACGTTTGCTAATTATTATGTTATAAGCCCTATGTGTAGGATAGCTTGTTGCCATCTATATCTAAAGGCCAAGTGAAATGCCCATTGTCATACTATCATTGTCGTAATGAAATCTTCAATTGGAATTGTGTATTGGACACTGAAAATGCTTAATAATCTATTATATATAGAGGTAAATGAATCCCTTTTTCCCTTGGTCACGGCATCACGCGTGAATGGCTGGACCGATTTCACTAATTATTTTTGTTGTATTAGTTATTATTAGGAGAAGGTTCTTATTATAGAAAAAAAAATCCTATAAATCTAGGAACGGGAGAAAACGGGATTGCGCGTACGAAGTCGCGGGCAGAACTTAGTAGAAAATGATAAAATTAAACGCCTTAGCTTGAAAAGGAAATCGAACTTAAAACCCGTTGTTCGCCTGTCATGCTCTCACTCGACCATCACGACAGTAAAAAGTTGCCAACATAAATATTTCTTAAGAATTTCTCACAAATCGAGACATTACAATCAGTTCCGTAAATACGAACTTAATGATAATTACCTTTGAGACACGTCTTGGTTACTTAACCCCTTATCTCTGTGTTTTCTTGACCTCTAACTTATAAACAAAGTATGAACACTGATAGCCCCACACAATATGATATTACAGAGACAATCAATGACATCAACAACCGTGGGACTTCATTTTTGGACCAAAAAGGTCTCCTACACCAAAGAGCCATAATCTTCAGTTTAGAAGAGATGATACGGTCTCCAACACCAAAGAGGCGTTGCCTATCATAATCTTCAGTTTTGAGGAGATGTTATCTAGTACAAAAGGAACAAGTTTATCAGAGAGCGTTGCTGCCTGGTTTCTATAGAATGTACAGTCCCTTAGTCGGTTCCTACGATAAAGTCAAAGTTCAGGCCTTTATTAACCGACTTAAAATATATAAAAGGAGGTTCGTAGTTTGACCTGTATGTATGTACGTTTATGCGAGATTAGCTCGCGATTGGCGGAACCGATAATGATGCGGTTCTCAGAAAAATGATTGTTATACTTAAGAGTCGGTTTTAGTAGGTACATTAATTGACCGACTTCAAAAAAGAGGGGGTTGACGTCGGTTTTTTTAAACGTAGTTTATGAAAGAACTAGCTGGTACCCGCGACTTGGTTTGCGTTCTTTTAATTTGAATATCAAGGATATAAGTAAAAGGTAGCCTGTCTTTTCTCAGGGTCTAAAGATTGCCTGTGCCAAATTTCATCAAAATCGTTTGAGATCTTTAAGCGGGAAAACGTAACAGACAGATAGAATTACTTTCGCTTTTAGAATATTATGGATATATAGTATGGATTATTTAAATTATTAACCCTTAAGCAGGCAGTTCAGTTTTGAAACATCAAAATTGAATTGTATGTACGTCACTGAAGCTAGTTCTTCGTTACATACATACGTTTGTTGGGAGAAGAACGAGTAAGACAGTCTATAGGTACCAACGACAAGAGTGACGGTGATGACAAGCGTATTGCACTCTTCTGAAACGTATCCTACTGTGCCATCACAGTTACTCAGTTCAACCCGGTATACACTGTCAACGAAATGACATAGCTGAGTAAATTAGTTTCCTCATTATCGTGGCGTGCGACACTTTACCTAGACATTCTTTTGTTTTGTCAGTCTCTTGGCACATCCATTATTATCTTACGTTACGTCACGGCATCTTAATATTTTTGATAGTTTTATTTATTTTAAGATTTTTATTGTCATGTCGTTAATGTGTAAGTTTGGTTATGTTTTGTTTTTACGTGATCTCTAGAATTGAGTAGATACCTACATAGTTTGTTATTAAAATTCTCGTCTTGATGTCTCACGGGTATTTTTTAAACTCAATATTCGCAGTCCTGTCAAAAAACTAACAGAACAAAAAATGACGAGTCATGCTTTAAATTATATTTTTTTAAACATTTTATCTAGTAGGCAATTGTATTCTTTGTACAGTGGCATTAAGTCCCGTAATATATACCCCTGCCTGGACCTACCCCTTCGGGGATAAAAGGCGTGATGTTATGATGTTATGTGTGTATTCTTCTTCGATTCCCACGCTTAGTTTATTTTTTAAAACATTTGCCAAACACACTCAAACTATTGTTTTCTTCTTCCAGGACTCCCCTCCGCTCCCCCCGCCGCAAGTCCACGGCACCCCGACGGTTTGGCCGCTCCGAGTTCAGTATGGACGACGATGACTACTCTCCAAGTAATTCTGTCACTTCTGTCAACTCCCTCGCCAGTCTACTCCGGGAGAAGTTGCAGGTAAACTATAGAAATAGTAATTATGATTTGTGTCATGTGTACCTTATAGAAACTTTAAAGTCCCACTTCTAATCAATAAGTAGTTTTAACAGACCACTTTGAAATCTTCTACAGATTATTCAAACTTGTGATAAACCTACTTAAGTATTTGTATCTTTAATTGCTTGTTTTCTGTATAAAAATTGTTCCTCGATACTTTAGTTAAACTCCTCTGTGCCTATGATTACCATTCCCAAGTCAATCTTAATTTGCTATGTTCATTTGTCAATGAAAAGAAGTAAACTTAATTTATTTTGACTCCAAAAACTTAATTACTTCTATCAAATTGCAGAGCATACCCCAGAAGATCCGCAAGAAGCCGACAGACTATAAACTCCGTGCGTTCGTGGGTCTGATGTTCCTCGCCATTGTGTTCTTCGTGGGTTTCGCATACGTGCTGTACCATCAGCAGGCGCTCACCAAGGCATACTTTGACAATGTGCAGTTTAACGAACCAAAGCGACTTATTCGCATCTACAATAAGGATGATGTGGAAATCCTTAGGGCTAGCTTAGGTAAGTGATTTGTGTGTTATAGCTATTGATGTTTAGTGATGGTTGATTTTGTGGTATGTCCATACCTGGATACATCGGTTTTCTAAGACTTTTGGATGGTTTACAGAAGACTGTTCTTAAAATATTTAAAGTCGAATATTGTAATTCTTTTAATGGTTTATTATAAAAACAGCATAGAGTTAAACACTACCAAAAAACCTATTTTCGGTTATTTCGTCATTCCTACAATATTTTTTATTTCTATTTCCAGCGGTTAACATCCAGGGCAAAATGAAAGCGTATCCATGTTTACCTGAACACCGTCGTAAGGATGGCTCTGAATGCCTGGAATGGCTGCATACTCTTCGGTTCTACTTGAAGTCCCTGCCTCATGACCCTGGCGTTGATAATACTACCTGCTACTCTGTGCACTGGAAGGCGTTACGATCTGGTCAGTAGCGTGAACTCTTTAAGTAAACGTGTTACATGATTTGTCTGAGGTAGTAAAGTGAAGGTCAGATACTTTTTATTCAGCAAGACTCCTAAATTCTATAAATTAATTTTGGACGTTCATACAAGAATGATTAAAGATCACGTTATTTCGTTACAGATGTCTATCCAAACGATTGCTTCGACTGGGGCGCAACGAAAGTGCACTGGTTTGGAGGTGGCCTATCCTCCAACCTAACCTGGCCTTTGGACAGCGGCTCATTAGATTACACTCCTTTTATCACAGGAGACATGCAAAAGAACCAATGGGGCAACGTCCTTACAAGATACTTCATAAATTCCAAGGGAGCTGCCATTATTGTCGATGATGAGACACCTCTTCACGTCTCCGTTAATAAAGGAGGCAAGCACATCTGTCTCAAAGCTATGTACCACGAATTTGCTTATCCAAATAAATTGACCGAATTCCCTGAAATGAAGTACAACATTTGTACGTCTGAAGACATGGCGTCATTACATTCTTCGATCCACAGTCATCGACGAGCTCCATTGTGGGACGGTTTAAAACCAGCAGATATGCAAACCTTAGAATCTCTTATATCAGAACCAGTTTGGCAAATAGCACCAAGATTTAAAGAAGAATTACAGGCAGAAACGATTTCTAAATACACGGAAGATGTTATCAATCTTGGATTCTTGAAACAGGGGCATGTGCTGATCAATGAACATTGGCAGAATGCAATTGGTGATTTATCTGTGGACACGAGTCGATTCCAAACTTTGAATACAACTGTCGATAAATTACACAGACGTGGTTTCAAAGTTGCATTTACCATCCAACCATTTATTAGTACTGAGAGTAAGAATTTCGCAGAATGTGTTCAAAAGAGATTGTTGATTAGTGAAAGGAATAGTGATAGACGTATACCAGCTTTAACTCGTTTCAAGTCTTTAGCAAGTGCTGGAGTATTAGATATCACAAACAACAGATCAGTGCCTTGGTTTTTGGAGAAGTTACAGGCAGTGATCGACGAGTACCACATTGACTCTTTCTTCTTGGACTTGGGTACAGCTTACGACATGCCTCATTACTTCCGTTGCGAACATCTTCTGACTAACCCCGATCAATACAAGAAGATCTTCACTAAAACGTTTGAGAAGATGTTTAATATCATTGGAGTGTCTTCTGCAGTGTCATTACCTCGCCCTCCTATTTTTGTCTCTCTTCCACCATTTGAGTCTACATGGGAAGCATTGAAGTTGGTTATACCGACTATGTTGACGTATGGTGTGAATGGTTTTCCATTTATAATGCCAGGAGCTGTCGGTGGGGATATTTACTGGCCTGGAAGTGAACAGTTCCTTCCATCCTCTAAAGGAATGGTGGACATTACAAATAGCACTCAAGAGAATGGAATAGAGTTACCAGATAAGGAATTATACATGAGATGGCTGCAAATGGCGACGTTCTTGCCTGTGATGAAGTTCACTCATCTCCCGAGCAAGTATAATGATGAGAGAGTGTTGGAGGTGGCGAAGAATCTGACGTCATTGCGACAGAGAATGGTAAGAATTAGATTTCATAAAAATGGCAAGGTACCTCTTGCTTGATTGATCTTGCTTGATTGAGCTTCTCTTATTAGAAATTCTGTATTAACAGGTAACGCCACTACTATTGAAGTACAAACGCGAAGCACTAGAAGCAGGTCTGCCACTCCTGCGGCCGCTGTGGCTGCTGGGTGCTGGTGACGCTCCCCGTGCATTAAAGGACGAGTTCGCCATCGGCAGTGACATTGTTGTCGCACCCGTTCTTGAACAAGGACAGACTACTAGGGATGGTGAGTAGATTGTTTAATAAGGGGAATTGAGTCTAATCAGACTTCGCTGGCTATGTCCACCAGTGATATGAGTGGATGATGATGATGATGACGAAGTTAATAAAATAATGGCAGTTATTTAGATTCAGAATATTTTCCCTATTTATTAAAATGAGAAAAGCGTCTTTCGAAGACTGTTATTACTTATTAAGATTCAGTTACGATTTTTTATGACTATCCTAATAAAATGGTGTTTTTGACTATAAATATCAAAACAGTTCGTTCTTAAAATAAAAGCTAACAATTTCTTATTCCAGTGTACCTCCCCACCGGTCTATGGCAAGATGGTATTGACGGATCTCTACGCAAAGGCAATCGATGGATGCACGAGTACAGAGTACCGATAGACAAGGTGGCCTACTTTGTTCGGAAACCTGATGATATGAGGTTTAAGTAATTGTAAGGCATAATGCCACGGTTGCAATGTTATATAGGTATGTCCATGCCAAAGTGATTGAACAGAGCGGCTGTTCATAATATATGTAGAAGTATTTTACTGTTCATGTTCAAATTGAACATTACATTAATATATTTATTTAATTAAAAAATGTTGCTTGCGTAGTGTTTATTTTTTAGACGCTACAATTTCTAGTCGTTGATCGAAACAAATGCAATGATCGTGAATGAGAAACCGTTATTTTTTAAATTATATTTCAAAGTGACAGGGGTGGACTTGGAGTCTATGGGGCTCCGCGAAAACATCGTTTAAAGGCCCACTTATTACGTTTATGTAACTGAGACTTTCTTGTTATTCTTGAAACTATTTCCTTTACTTTATTATGTCTACTTTCAGTTTACTAACTTACCTTTTACTTTTTTACTTTTACTATGTTCCACCCTTGTTTAAAATAATAATAAATAAAACACGCTCGTATTCTTGAGAATGATGCTGTTGAATTCTTGTTTTCGAACACGGGTTTTAAATGTTGTCTGTTATTATTTTCTAACACTAAGTACAATATGCGAATATGAGCCTTATTTTAATATACGTAAAATACAACCAGAATTTATGCATATCTTAAGCAAAAACCACACACATGTAAATAAAATTAGATCGCAATAAAAAGAGTTGTGCTAACACTGCCTCGAAGTAGAATAAGAGAATTGAAAGTGTACGTGCAGCTATTACATTCGCTAGAAGTAATTTGCCATATTGTATTTTAGTAATAAAAATCCACATAAATCCAGCATATGTCGTTGGCGGATAACTTCTTCCTAATTTTATAAACAAATCCATTGATCCATTGATCCATGTATGAAAAATGCCAGTTTTTTTTTGTCAAGATTTAATCGTACCTATTACAAAGGTAGTTAGTTTCGATTTACAGAGGGACTCTTCCTTATAAGCAGCATGCGCGGTCGCGGCTACACCGAGCAGCTTACTCTATATCGCTGCGACCGCGCATGCTGCTCACGAGGAAGAGTCAATAAATTATCAAATAGAAAGTAAAATTGGTTTGACGTCCATAGATTAAAATTTATTTATGAAATAATTGTGTCTTTTAGTAGATAAGTACGAGTTTTAAAAGAATATTGTAAATACGTAAATTCGTACGTAAATAGATAAAAATGTGATCACATCAACATTCCAAAGCTTTAGGTTTTTAGTTTAGTTATATATACTTTTATTTTTAATTGACCCAAACAGGAATGAATTCTTGAATATTAAAATATTTTTTTATTGTAACAGTAATTCTGATGATAAGTACAGGGGTGGATCCAGGTAGCGTTTAATGGGTGCAAAAAGGGTGCAAAAAACCCTAGGTTCCGAATATTAAATTTTTTATTTCGAACTGTAAATCCTGAATCTGTCCTTGCATAGGTAGCCATTTTGTTTTTCGAAAACATCTAAGTATTTTTTGGTTGTGCCAAATGCCTTTAGCATTTTAAGAATCGAGTTGCCTTGTTTATCAAAATATATTTCTCTTTTAAAGTATAGTGTTGTGAAATATCATTCCATATTTATTAAGTATCTATATTAATATAAGTAGGTACCTATATATCAATACAATATTTATATTATAAGAATAATTTAAGATTTAAAATTATCTACTATGTTACATTTTACGCTTAGATCGGAAGCTGCTTGTATGACTGTGAATTATATATGATATATATGTGATGTGATAGAATATTTAAAAAAGTATATGTACCCATAAATAGTACTTTGTATTATAAATTAGTAGGTAATGTACGTTTGAATCTATTTTAATCGTTTTAATAAACGGACCATTTCGAGATTAATTGTGTAAATTGGAAATGTTTTTAGAAAATGTGTATTTAAAAAAGAACCCTTCGGATTCGAAAGTATCTGTATTAGCATATAGTTGGAAATTGTTTCAAAAATAAATAGGACAAAAAGGTAATTGTTTTAAAATGTGTGCGGGTTGATATTGTGGGAACACTTCTGTAACCCCTTGCGGTAATAGAAAGCGTGATGAGTATGTTATTTTACACTAATATAATTTTATTTCAGTTAATGCTTCGTTCGATGTTCATAATTATTGCCTATGTGGATAGTCTAGATTAAGTCACCAAAAACTATTGTATACGATCGTTCTAATGTATAAGTAATGCATTTAAATTGAAAAAAACTTGTGCTGTTATTAAATGTTTTTAAACCTATTTTGTCGCTTTTATTATTTTTTACGCTGTCAAAGTGAAATGTAGCAGGATCTCTTTATTTACCAGCATATCCAACTAATAATACTATAGCTAGGTACTCTTTTACTATACTACCTCTTTGTCTGTCTGTTTACCGAGTAAAAGTTAATTACCGTTTCGAACAACAAATTACTAAAGATTTTGTGAACCGTAACTCGAAATTGAACCCAAGATGACAGGGATATTCGCTTCATAAAACAGGTCTCTCATGGCAAAAGCACCTAAACGCATGGGAATTTGTTCTAGATTCCACAAGGTCCGTATAATAAGCTACACCTGATGAAACAATTAAATTATTTAACATAGTGTTACGTTCATATTGCCTGAGATTACACTCCCAGAGTATGTGATGGGCCGACTGCTCGTATTGCAACTCCACTGTCGAACATTGGCACCATGGTGAATCAATAAGTTTAAATGAGAACAATTTGCTCTTAAAGTTGCCGTGGCCAGTAAGAAATTGGATAACACAGTTATCCACCTCCAACCATGTCCTCTCCAGCCGCTCATGCACGGATGGGAAGAACTGATATAGGTGGCGGCCCTTAATAGAAGATTCCCATCTACACTGTTATTCAGTTATAAGCATCCCAAACGTCCGTTATTGGCTTAAACAATCTAGCAATTTTGTTTCTATCACGTTGTGCTAGAAAGCTTGCTGACAAATTAACGTGGTACGCGGTAACGCACTCATAACGCCTCTGGTCTTCCAGGTGTCCATGGGCGACGCCAATTGCTTACCATCAGGTGATCCGTCTGCTCGCTTACCGACTTGTCCCATAAACAAGAAGGAGGTAAAAATAATGAAAATAACAAATACATTTTTAAACATTTTTTTATTACTCAATGATTCATACAATACCACCAAACACTCCGTATGAGTTACAGCGATGTGATCAATACAATGACAAATATAATGATTTCTATAATAATGATTATAATCATAATTAATATGCACCTAACTCCCTTAAGGGCGTAACATTATTTAAATTATTAAACATTTCTTATATTGGCAGGTTTTCAGAGAAGCAAGCAAGCGTTCCAAGTTATTTCAGTGCATGCGATAAAGCGTTTTAAATAAATGTACATAAGTGTTAGTTTCGCTGAACAGAAACTTTGAGAGTATCTCTTCTATATAAGGAAGAGAAAGCAAGTATTTGTCTCCATAAATAAACGGTGCCGTCTTTGATCTATGCCAACTGGTTCTGTATTCTATTGCTATTGTAATAAGATACATAATAGTATTGACCGGTATTAATCTGAATTTAAGAAATGTTCAGAATTTAACAACAATTGAAGATAAATTTTGCCATCTCTTTCCAACAGTGATCGTTGTAAGCATTTACGTACAGTCGAACAAAATTATGTTATATAACTTATTTGAAATAGTTTAAATATTATAGCATGCACTGAAACTCTTTACCAAACCAACATTCCTTTAACAAATAACATTATAAATACAGGCGTATACAGCGTTTACCTTGCAACGGAATCGAAGCCCAACTTAGCTGTTTAACATACATCTCAGTCTTACTTACCACTAAGCGTGTTTGCACCCCGTAAACGATGAAAGTGGAAGATAATTTTGCACCGAAAAAACATTTTTCGTACACATCAAAATGTGTAAAAACTTAGTATCTTGAGAAAAAGAAAATACCTATGGAAATTTTCAAATAATACAATCATGTTAAAAAGCTTCTGATAATATACAAGACTTGAAACTTTTATGCTATTAAAGTGAGATAGAAACTCTAATTCGACAGTAGCGCCCTCTACAACTTGCGGTAATGTTATTTTTTTATTATAAGCTTATAGATTTCTATACCATATAAGGAATGGACGGTCACCTTATTTTAAAATCCAAAATTTCAAAGAAAGTTTTATTTTCATTTTAAACCCACATACCTATCTTTAAAAAAAACCGTTGCTCTGAAACTCTTTGTAGGGGCTATAAATACTAAGTTTTATTCACAACGTAACCAGATATTCGGTAAAGATCTGTTGATTACTACAAAATCCTGAAATAAGTACGTTTTTGGAATGAACGAAGTGGTCTTTTGTATTACTATTGTTTTTTTTTCGTTTTGTATTTTCCACCCTCATCAGACACAGGGTGCAACAATTCAATACTAAATATCGACGCGTCGGTTGCTAGCACCACTTAAGCATTCACTGTCGCCATATTAAAACAGAGCGTGACGTCATTTCTATTGTAAATAAATTAGTTTATATTTTGTTTCCAAAATGACCAGATGCTATATTCATGTGTAATTTTGATACGTAAAAATGGTCTTGTATTGAAACACGCTCTATTTCAAAGCGACACACTCACATTGAAACCTATCTACAACAAATCCATTTTGAATTTCATTCCTATATCGATGTTACTTTTCCAAATCTTAAAACCATCTCAAGCCTAGCTCTCAGCCTCACACACATTCCAATTCCTTCTCATGATCAAAGTATTATTGGATAATGACACACAGTCATACGGTGCACCTTGTTGTATGATAGTGTTATATATAGTAGCAATCATTGTCTTATATATAATATATATGTATCTTATATATAACTAGGTGTCCAGAGACAGTAATGAGGTAAAGCAAGTTCTACGTTGGCAAATTGTTCAGTTTTATTCAATGTCTATTTGAGGTAATATACACAAACTTACAGGTCACCTGCAGCTTGTCTGTCAAACTACGACAGTTACGTTTATGAAGACATGTCATCTGCTACACAACTAAACATGTTTAACCCACATTTGGAAGAATACAACATTTAATAATTTCAATAATGGTTTATTTCTCAGAGCTATTGATGTTCACTAAGCTGATACAATTCTTAATTTTAATAACATTTTTAATATTCCTAATAATATGCATTAATTAGAATTCTAGCTATAAAATACAATAGTAAACTTTAGGGTCAGGCTTTACAGCCAGCTAGACAGTGGATGCCGGCTGAACATAACAAAGCCTAGTTAAAAAAAATACTCAAAATCTCATTTTGTTCGAAGCTTTTAAAGTCGTCATCACCGATGTACTCAAACCTCAAAAATCGAATATATGCATTATTTTAAAGATGTGGCGTACACAATCTGAGCTGTTCATCTTTAAAATAATGTAGATATTTGTCAACGTGTTGATGTAAAATCGCTGCTTATTCCTAGAATTGACTGGAAGCCAATGGTGGTAACGGCAGTAGCATCGGTTCAGACCCCATCCCACAAGGTATTCTCACATCCCTGTTTAGTCCCATCCAAACTACCTAAAGCATAAACCACGTAATGAAACAATATTGTGCTCACATCAATCCACACACAGAAACACATACTATATTAATTATGTATTTTTAAACTATAAAATAAAAACTCATTCGTTGACATACCTACATAAAAAATAAAATAAAAAAAATGTATTCTTTATGTATTCGTTTACAATTTTTTAAAGTTTTTTTTTTTGTTATGTTATTACATTGTGCTGGTGCGTTCAGAGTACGAATTGTTTTCGCTATTATTTTTCTATATTTAATAAGAAATGTTGGCGAAGTAAGCGATTGTTGTATGACATTAATCCACTTATATCTATGGATGACTTAAAATTAATTGACTCAAACATTTTCATTGGATATTTGGCAAATTAGGACAACGTAATGTGGAAACACGAGCAAGTGAGCACTGCCATCAACAAGATGTTAAACATTAATATTGAATCGAAGGGAACAGGCTCGCCTGCCGTGTGTCGGAGGAAAGCCTCGAACACTGCTTACACACTATATGCTGAATCATTTATGGATCATTATCACATTCGCTCACATCCGAACATAACACTTGGAAACAAATTGGAAATCTAATGGAGAGGATATTTATCTATAATACATGAGGATTTCATCTTCGTCAAAACAATTATTATTAGAAAAACGCTTAAAACAATTCATCTGAATAGGAACGAATTTATAAAGACTATAACGATTTTTATAAATATTTGGGTCGCCACGACTAGAAATTTAAAACAAAATACAACAGACCGAAAATATAATATATATAGATGCCAACGTAATAGAAACAGAGATTCCAAAATCTCTTTACTTCAATAATTATCTTTTGGAAATGAGTTAAATTTATATAACACGTAATTATAACTATGTTATATTACTATACCTCGACGCAACAAGCAATGTATCAACTTAAACAGAGGTAAATATAATGAATTCTTTAATTATAGTTTTTCTACTAAAACATTTATTATTTATAATGGTTAAGCTCTCTATCGTTTTAGGCTCACTGTTGGTCTAGAATAACACAGATGTCTTCAGTAATGTGGCAACGAACGATTGTAGTTTACATTCAACACGAATATAAACATATTGGACACACATCCAATTAGCATCGAAGTTGCAGGATTCTTCCATTATAATCGAATCTGTGTCTAAAATCTTATATTCTTCCGTTGAAGTTTACGCTTAACGTTGTCACGATAATGGAATGTTGCGTTAGCTTGTGATATTATGCGCAACGTATTTGAAAATAGCTTAGAAGATAAATTTCGTTAGCGTGATGTAGAATCTGAGGTCGACAACAACGTGCGTCGGGTACGTATAAAGTCCCGTTCGTACTACCATCGATCGCTGCCACTCGTCTGTTCAAAGTTGCAGGGAAATAAGCTCGAGTTCAAAATAAATGTGAAAAACGTCACTCCTTACATCTAACTGGATTACTTACGAGGTACAGGCTGTCACGAGAAGTCATCTTTGTCGTTCTAGAGTCGTAATAATAAGTCTCATCTAACAAATATTAATACAAACTAGCGCACGCAGCACTAGCCTCGACGAGCGACTTTACATTTTAAGAATGTCTTTTTAAGACAATTTGTTTATAAGTATATCTTTATTTAAACCTTTAAAAAAGTACTATCAGGTTTACGTTAGCGTCAGTTACAATGACATTCATTTGTTAATCACGTCCTTTTTAAGCGACTACGCTAAATAAAAGAATTGCCGCTAAGATATTTTGTACAATTTGTAAATTACAAATGGCGATAGCAAAATAATTTCTCTTTTACATCCCCCCAAAAATTTTGATCGCAAAGCGGTGTTTTGGCTAAACAAAATGGACTGGTTACGCTAAATATTCATGTATAAAAGCACTACAGTTTTGTATAAGACCAAATTTTAAAACATCATCAGAAATATATTTTAAATGGCAAGCTACTAGAAAACAGTTGTATTTTAGAAAAAAATGGACGTCTCTGTTCTTAGGTCGAGAATTGGTTATTGACTTTACAATTGGATGTGGTCAGGACACTGTCAGTTTGGGAGTTACGACTCGGCCGTGGGTAGCACAACACATTGACACCAGCACTTTCGTTATCGCATTGGTTATCGTTACGTTCATTAATAACTAAGATTTTATCAAACTCTTTAGCAGTCTGTTAATTGCATTCAAATATCACAAAAACTCGGCATCTATTTGCAAACGCTCTCACGCGAAGTAGTGGCCACAGGAGTCGATGCTTACGAGCACTTCTTTCATTATCACAGCCTTTTTATTCTACAACAACAATTACACTTTTCTTTGGTTCATTCGGTTCATAAGCGTCGACTCCGCGGAAGGGGCTCACTTCTTCGATGAGAAGGCTACAAATAGACCCGAAACCTAGAACTCGAGTCTATAGGCCGCACACGATGTCTCATGATCCTGGAGGTTGATGGTGCACCGTGACGCAGACGGCGAGAGGTCGATCTTGTACTTCTCCAGAGCTTCCTCGTTCTCTGTCACCCAGTAGCCAAGAACGTCGGTGTCATACGTTGGGATAATGGTGACTTCTGCAATGATCACAACCAAAAAGTTAGAGAGTAATTCATTAGTACTTCACAACTGGAGTGGAATTTAAGTAAGAAAATTGCGAGTTTGGTTTCAGTAATGTTATTAAATAATAGTAACAGACAATGATCATACATAAAATAAACAAGTATACGTTTTCAATGTGGTTAGAACTGGCAGTAAAATCATCTTACCTAAATCTTTATCTTCCCATGTCTTCTTGGCATCGAGCAGGGCGTTGTAGATTTCCTTCGATGGCTCTGTTCCAGAGAACACATAGTAGCGTGCCCGGACGCGTTTGAAGAATTCAATGGCTGAATAGTATGAGTTGCCGTGATGTGGAACATACGTCAGCTCCATGTAGACAGGTGCGGGAGCTTTCTTCTTACTGGGAGACTCTGATGCGCGACTCTTCGCTTCCTTGCTCTTCTCCTGGTTGATCTTATTTTTGTTCAATACTGTTGAACTTGCTTGCTTTTTAGGAGTGCTCTTGCCATCTGTTTGCATTGGGGCTCCAATCGGACTGGGCAGACCTAGTGGCTTTCCCCAAGACTCGATAGGATCTTTGGATGGTTTACTAGTTTCACTGGTAACTTCAGATTTCTCGAATTTTGTTTCCTGTTTGCTTGATGAACTGCTTTCTGTCACTTTTTTAGTTTCAGATTTAATATCCTTTAACGTAATTGTACTTTCTTCTTTCGAAGAGTGACTTGAACTAGAGTGGAATTTCGAGTCAAGTTCGTATTTCGCTGTTATGTTTGAAATAACTTGGGATCCGCTAACCTTTTTATGCTCTTCAATTGCTTTCTCAAAATGTTCGTCAGCTTCTTTGAAGAAGGTAGCATCGCCATGTTTTTGATGTTCTGATCTTTCTTTTGTTAAGAAATCTTCCGTCATTTTTCTTGCCGAGCTCGTCAGTAACTCAGTCGTCGTTACTTCAGAATGTGATGAAGATTTATACGAGTCATCTTCAGGAAGTTGTCCGTAAATTGAAGTTGACATTGGGTCTGGTTTTTCGAATAAGTCGTGTTGTGATTTTGCCGTGTCTAACTCAAAGCTGAGGTTTGATCTCGGTGAATGTGCGATCTGAGACTTTGTACTGCTGGGACTACCCTGACCGTCTTCGTCACTATAATACATTCCGCTGCTCTCTGTGCCCCAGATATGAGTAGCAGCTCTAGACCCTCTTGAGCTTATATCTGATGGTGGTGAGGATATACCAGGGTGATCTAAGTCGTCGCTCGCTGCCGACGAACTGCGCATATCTCCAGTTTTTGAAGAGAGTTTGGAGAATGATTTTTCGCTTTCACCAGTGTCTACAGTTTCTTCGTATTCTTCCCGAAATTCGGAAATAGTGGTTTTTGTAGATTTTGTGGTCTTGGTGACACCGTCGCTTCCTTTGCTAACTGTAGTGGTTTCAACGGTTATTTTAATTTTTTCGGGACTGATTACTTCTTTGGTTGTGACAACAGTTATAGTTTGTGTTATTTCATTATCTCCTTCTTTGATAACTTTGGTGTACGTTTCCGTGTCAGTGGTTATTTCTCCAACTGGTGAGCGTTGTTTCTTGGGCTTAGACTCTGGCTTTTCTTTTGTATCAGCTGGTTTCTGAGTGTCGCCGGGCACGTTATCCAGAATTTGCCTTTCTTCTTGAGCAATCGGTTGCTTCTCTATTTCTTCCAGTTCTTCTGGAGACCAATCATCGAGCCCTGTTCCTGGAGGTAGATATGTGATTTGTGTGCGAACATCTTTCGTTGTTTCCACTGTGCCATCGTCTTTAGCATTTTCAGTTATGGTTTCCGTTACTGTTTTGACAGCAACGTCGTTCGTTTTACAATGACAAAGTTCCTCCTTAGTGACGTTTGTTGTAATTGTCTGAGTTATTTTTTCACCATGGTCGGATTTGATAATATTAGTCTTTTTATCAACAGATGTTTTAACTTTGCCTGTTGGTTCTAATCCTTGCAATGCCGCTTGTAAATCACTGTCTGAGGTCTTTTGGAATTCCGAGATCGTTATTTTTACATCTTTCGTTGTTTCTGTTGCACCATCAGGGAATTCATCCACAGTTGTAGTTTCAACAGTCGTTCGGACGCGCTTAATATTCACATCGTTGCTAGCCAAGAATTCTCGCTTTGTCGCTATTGTGATTTTGCGCCTTATCGTTATAGATCCACGCTGTAATATTTCGTTTTTGACATCGAAATCCTCAGTCATACTTTCAACGATTTCTGTATCGCTAATGGGCAAGTCATCTGGTCGTTCTGGGACGTCTTCATGCTTTTTGTATGAATGCCCGGTCACATCAGTAATTGTAACAGTTACCTTCTTTTTTGTTATTACAGTACCATCAGGATATTCATCTTCGGTTTCAGTTCTGGTTGTTGTTTTAATCTTCCTTGAACGGGTAACAGTGTTTTCAAATTCTTGTGCAGTTGTAATGACTGTGGTTTTCCTAATGATCTTGATACCATTTTCTGTAATAGAATCTTCAGCAGTTTGCACTGATTCTTTTGGTTTGTCAATTTCTATGTATCCTACAAGATTTTCGTAAAATGTTTCTGATTTGTAATCGTCGAGCGTTACTTTCTTGTCTCTTGTTATTTCTGTATTTCCGTCAGGTAGTCCAATTTGACTCTCAGTTTCTACTGTAGTTCTTACTTTCTTCTTTCCATCTTGTGACTCTAGAACTTCCTTTGTTGTCTTAATTGTGATAATTTGTTGAAGTTCTTTTCCTTCTCTTAATATCAAATTATGTTTAGTCTCGACATTAATTTGTACATCACCAACTTGCTCATAACCTACAATGTGTTGACTTGGGATATCTTTTTGGTCTTCTTTGATTTCAGATATTGATGTGCTAGTATCTACAGTAGTCTTCGCAGCACCATCAGGGTATTCATCGGTTGTTGTAACAGTTTTTACTATTTTTAGTTTCTTGAGAACGTGTTGGCTGTCCATATACCTTGTTTTGACAATTTTAGTTACAATAATTCTTTTTATTTGTATTCCATCTTCCTTAATTTCCTTGATATCTATATCTTCACTTATTTCAGGTTCACCTGAGGGAGATAAATCTTTAAGTGCAGCTTCTAACTTTTTCATTTCAGCCTGTTCCTCAGCAGTAGGTTCGTGAGCCTTAAGAGTTTCGTCTACTAATGAGATCTTTTCACTAGCTCTAGTGACAACAGACCCGTCGGGATGTTCATCTTCTATTACTGTCCTTACTGTTGTTTTAGTTCGTTTAATGTTTTGTTCTCCGTTAGTATACTCTTGTACAGTTGTAGTGATAGTTATTTTTCTTTTTATAGTAACACCGTCTTCGGTTACAGTTTTGGTTTCAGTAGTGGTGTCTTCGATTGGTTCTCCAGTGGGATCAAAACCGTCAACATCATCTGCAGTTTCAACTTCTATATCGGTAACGGAAGTGCTACTTTCAACAATTGTACGAGCTGAACCATCTGGATACTTATCAGTTGTAGTGAGAATCGTAACAGTCTTGAGTTTTCTGAGATTACCTTGTTTATCAGAATATTTCGTTTTGATTATTTTGGTTACAATGGTCCTCTTAATGATTATATCTTTCTCTTTAACATCAACGGACTCGCTAGATTCACTTATTTCAGGTTCACCTACAGAAATAAATTCTTTTAGAGCGGAATCCACTTTGCTGCTTTCCGAAGAGCTTTCATCGTCATGTATTGGCGTTTCCTCTTCCATAGGAGACTTGTCAGCTACTTTGGGTTTACCCAATATCTGTTTAGCTAATTCAGGTTCTTCATGAACACCATTAACGACTGGTTTTGAGGGCTTGTCTTCCAATTTGGTGGCTTTAGTTTCATCAGGACGTACTTTCTGTTTTGTTAGTTGTTCTTCGATGCTAACGTCTGTGATTGTGATACTTGTATTGACAGTCATCTTTGTTGTTCCATCAGGATATTTATCACTTGTAGTTACAATAGTTTCTGTTTTAATTTTGTGTGGCACACCACGACTGTCAGAGTACTTTGTTTTAATGATTTTAGTTACAATAGTTCTCTGTATTATGATTTTATTTTCAGAAATTTCTTCAGTTTTAACATCTTCGGTGATTTCAGGTTCTGATGGAGTAAAACTGTTGAGAATTTCTTCAATCTTTGCATCGTCGGCATCATCAGTATCATCTGTTGCCTCTACGATACTTTCATCCGCTAACGTTATTTTTTCACTAGTTTTCTTGATGACAGAACCATCTGGATGCTCATCTTCTACTACGGTTCTGATTGTCGTTTTGATACGCTTAACAGTTCGGGCTGTGTTGATGAATTCTTGTGTAGTCGTGGTAATAGTTGTCTTTCTTTTTATAATCGCACCGTCTTCAGTAACGATTTCGGTTTCTGTAGTGGTGTCTTCCATGGGTTTGCCAATTGATTCAAAGCCTTCGAGACTTTCATCTACAGCATCTATACCGATATCTGAAACAGAAACTTTGACGTCCTTCGTAACTTCTGTAGTACTGTCGGGAAGCATAGTTTCTGTCACAGTTTCAACGGTGGTCTTGAGCTTTCTCTTAGTTCTATCAATATTACTCAAAATTTCCTTTGTTGTTGTAGTTGTTATAATTTGCAAAGCATTTCTTCCATTAATAGTAATACTTTTTTCGCACTGATCACTTTCAACTGATTTGTCTTCAACTAAAACCATGCCCTGGAGCTCAAGGGTTTCTACGGGTTCTACGTCAATATCGGTCAGTGATGTACTACTATCTACTTTAGTGCGAGATGATCCATCAGGGTAATCGTCTGTGGTGGTAATAGTTGTGTCAGTCTTGAGTTTTTTGGGTACACCTTGTTTATTTGCATATTTGATTTTAACTACTCTTGTGACAATTGTACGTCTTATGGTAAAGGTTTCTTGTTTAATTTCCTCTGTTTTGGATGTAACACTTTCTTCAGGTTCACCACAAATTACAAATTCGCTAAGAATGTTATCTAAATTACTGCTAGAATCTAAAATAATTTCTTCAGTCTTAACTTCAACGTTTTTCTGAACATCTTTTGAACCATCAGGATGTTCTTTTGTGACATTTGTTTCAATTGTTGTTCGAATCAATTTTTTGGTGTCACTGACCTTGATTGTTTCCTTTTTAGTTGTTGTTGTTACAGTTTCCATAACGTCTTTGTTATTTTCTTTAATTACTCGTTTACTAACATCCGTATCAATAATTGTATCTTCAACATTGTCGTCTGATTCATCAGTCTCACTTAAAAAGGATTTGAGAGATTCTACATCTTTAGGTACGGAAGACTCGCGTTTATCAGTCAAATCACGAATTTCAAACTTTTCTTCGTTTTCCAAATAATCTTTGTCTAATCTATCTTTTGCATATAAATCCATTGATGAGGTAGATCTAAGGCTGGAAGAACATTCTGATAGTAATGTTTGTGTGTCTTTTGTTGTAGTTGTAGAACCATCAGATCCTTTGCTAAGTGTTGTAGTTTCTATAGTGGTCTTAATGTTTTGAGGTGTCCCATCTTCTCTTGAGATTACTTCTTTAGTAGTCACGGTAGTTATAGTCTGTGTTACAACATTTTCACCTTCTTTGATAATCTTTGTTACAGTATCAGTTTCAGTTTTGATTTTTCCTACATTTTGCATCAGAGATAAGAGATCCGATTCATCGTCTGCTAGGGTTGTAGTCTTTTTGGGTACCTTTTCAGTTGATGTTGAAATTCTTTGTGTGAGTACGTCATCTCCTACATGGACCACTTTTGTAATAGTTTCTTCACTGCCATCAGACTTGTCATATGTAACCTCACTTTGAACTCCATCACTAATCTTCACATCTTGGAAGCTACTAGGAGTTTTAGGAAGCGGACTTACTGGAACTGTTGGGGGAGTAGATACCCTGACTAAGGATTCAATGCTTTCAGTCTTGATTCCTTGTTGCACAGTATCTTCTTCAAATGCCTTATGTATAGATTCCATAAGATGCACAGCACTATCTTTCATTGCTTGCACCACAAATTTTTCGTCACTTGGTCCTAAATCTGTCGGTATACTATGAACTCCTGAATCAGATGCTTCAGATAAAGGAATTTCATCCTTAGGTGATCCGAGTTCTTGAGTTTTGTCATCATGAACTCTTGTGGAATCCGTATCCTTCAACGTTGAAGTAACTGAGTCATCAATAGTTAATGAATCTACTTTATGACTTAATGTTTCATCAGAATATAACTTATCTTTAAGGGATTTCTTTTCTGATTTTTCAGTACCTTCGAAACTATATTTTTCTTCAAGGCTCGTTTCTCTAGATACATCTTCAGAGCTGCTGCCATGTGGAATAGGAGTGTGAGTATCTATTGTGCTCTCAATCATTTCTTGTGTGTATTTTTCATCCACGATAGATCTCTTTTTGATATCGTGAGGCTTAATTGTGTGATGTGACTGAGATATAGCCATTTTTTCTTGTTTCAGCATTTCTTCAGATTGACTAATTAGGGACTGCATCTTTGTTGTTGTAACCGAAATGTGCTTATCATCAACTTTTTCTAATACTTGACTATCTTCACTTACTGACTCACCATCTTCGTAAATTTCCTTTTCATCCGTGTCTACATCAAGAATGTCCACTTTTTCATCTATTGGATGCTCGTCTAATTTTGTTTCTGTTATATTAATAGATTTTGGAACGATTTCATCATCAACAGTATGATCTGTTATATCCTCAATTTTGGGTGAAATCTCTTTCTCAGGTATCATCTTACCACTTGTAATAAGAGTAGGTTCATCAAGATATTCCTTTTCATCAATGTCCTTTTCATCATCTTTGGATTTTCTTTGCATTTCCTTTGTAGAACCTTCAATCTTTTCTAATCGTCGATCCTTTTCACTATCAGATTTTGGCTCCTTCTCAAGTAGCTTGCCCGGACTGAATACTTCCTCGTTGGGCTTAACTGGGCTAGGTGTTTGCTCATCTGGCTTAGTTGGGCTAGGTGCCTTTTCATCAGGCTTGACTGGGCTTGTTGCTTTCTCATCGGACTTGGCTGGGCTAGGTGCTTTCTCATCAGGTTTGACAGGGCTAGGTGACTTCTCATCAGGCTTAATTGTGCTAGGCACCTTACCATCAAGCATGGTTGGGCTAGGTGCTTCCTCATCTAATTTGACTGTGCTAGGTGCTTTCTTATCAGGCTTGTCTGACCTGGGTGCCTTCTCATCAGACTTGACTAGGCTAAGTGCCTTCTCATCGGGCTTGACTGGGCTAAGTGCCTTCCCATCAGGCTTGACTGGGCTAGGTGACTTTTTATCAGGCTTGACTGGGCTAGCTACTTTCTCCTCATGCTCAATTGGGCTACGTAGCTTCTCATCAGCCTTGACTGGGCTAGGTGGCTTCTCATCAGGCTTGATTGAACTAGGTGCTTTCTCATCGGACTTAGTTGGGCTAGGCGCCTTATCATCAAGCTTGGTTGGGCTAGATCCTACCTCATCAGATTTGACTGAGCTAGGTGCTTTCTCATCAGGCTTGACTAGACTAGGTGGTTTCTCATCAGATTTGGCTGGACTAGGTGGTTTCTCATCAGGTTTGACTGGGCTAGGTACCTTCTCATCGAGTTTGACTGGGCTAGGTGCCTTTTCATCAGGCATGGCTGGCCTAGCTGCTTTCTCATCAGGCGTGACTGGTTTCAGTTTGCTAACAGTGCTTTCCTCGGGGTGTGATTTAAGTTTTGTTAGATGTTCTTCAATGCTAAAGTTTGTAATTGTAATACTTGTATCGACAGTCGTTTTTGTTGTTCCATCAGGATATTTATCACTTGTAGTTACAATAGTTTCTATTTTCACTTTGTGTGGTAAACCACGAATGTCGGAGTACTTTGTTTTAATGATCTTAGTAACAATAGTTCTCTGTATTATGATTTTATTTTCAATGATTTCTTCAATTTTAACGTCTTCGATGATTTCTGGTTCTGATGGAGTAAGATTGCTAAGAATTTCTTCAATCTTTGCATTGTCGGTATCATCAGTATCATCTGTTGCCTCTGCAATACTTTCATCCGCTAATGTTATTTTTTCACTAGTTTTCTTGATGACAGAACCATCTGGATGCTCATCTTCTACTACGGTTCTAATTGTCGTTTTGATACGCTTAACAGTTCGGGCTGTGTTGATGAATTCTTGTGTAGTGGTGGTGACAGTGATCTTTCTCTGAATCATTGCACCGTCTTCAGTAACTATTTCGGTTTTTGTAGTGCTGTCTTCTATGGGTCTACTAATTGATTCAAAATCTTCATCATCTACAACATCTACTCCTGTTTCTGTAATAGGTAATTTGTCCAACTTCTCATCAGGTTTCGTTGGAATAGGCGCTTTGTCATCGTAATCGATTTCGCTTGGAACTTTCTCACCAGGACTAGGAGACTTGATTAGGCTAGGCGCCACGTCATGTTTTTCTGGACTTGAAACCTTGTCGTCATATTTCATTTTGCTGGAAGCATCCTCACCAGGTTTAGTTGGTAGTGTTTTGACATCTGACTTAACAGGGCTGATCGCCTTCTCATCAGACTTAGAATGTGTGGGCTCTTCCTGTTCATATATGATTGAGCTAGGTTTCATTTCTTCAGGTTTGACTGGGATGGGTACCTTTTCATCAATCTTCGTATCAAGCTTGTCACTTGTAGGGCTGGGCGCTTTATCATCAGGCTTGGCCGAGCCAGGTGCCTTCTTATCAAACTGGTCACTTATGGAGCTGGGTGCCTTCCCTTCAGACTTGACTGGGCTGAGCACAATATCGTCAAGCTTATCAGTTGTGTGTTCGTCGTCTTCAAGCTTGATTGGAAAAGATGCTTTCTCAATAGCCTTTGTGGGGCTTATATCTTTTTTGTCAGCCTTCTCGCTAGGTGTAACAGATTTTGGCTCTTTTCCACCTGGTTTCAATGCAATAGAGAAGTCACCGTCTTTTACGGCGCTTGACTCTTTGGGAATTGGTGTCGGTAGATCTGAAATGACACCTAATTCTACAGGTTTTATTACTTTCTTCACAATTTCCTGTGTTTCTTTATGTTGTTCTTCGTCAATCATTTGAAGAGAACAAAGCTGCAAAAGTTGTTCAACACTGGGCTTAGTATCACTCAACGTAGTTTTTTTGTATGTACGCCTGACTTTAGTACCATCTGGCAGCTCGTCTTCTTCAATAGTGTTAATCACTATTTTGTAAATTATTGTAGTTCTAGTAATGCTATAGTACTTCTGAACAATGGAAGTAATTATAAAAGTCCTAACAATTACAACACCTCTTTCAGTAACCGTCAAATACTGCGTTACAGTTTTTTCTTCCGAGTCTCCCATGGGCTTAAAATCTTTCAGTCTTTCTTCAAGTTCTGCATCATCCAAGAATGAATAAGCTACTTCTTGTACAGAAATGCTTGGACTTATATCTCCATTGTCTAGTTTTCCTTTATCCAATGACTTCTCTTCTGATTTGAAAGAAGTCTCCTCTTTGTCATGGAACTTGAGAGAGCTGACTAACTTCTCATCAAACATATCAGCTACAGGTTTTATGTAATCTGGCTTGACTGGGCTGGGTGCTTCCTCATCAGGTTTGGGTGCACTAGGTGCTTTCTCTTCAAGTACATCATCCACAATTGGTTTGTAATCAGGCATGATTGAGCTAGCCATCATCTCATCAGGTTGGACTGGGCTCGGTGCCTTCTCGTCAAGCTTGATTGGACTGGGTGCCTTCTCATCTGCCTTAACTGCGCTAGGTGCCTTGTCGTCAGGCTTGATTGGGCTGGGTGTTTTCTCATCCGGCTCAACTGGGCTCGGTGCCTTCTCGTCAGGCTTGATTGGACTGGGTGCCTTCTGATCTGCCTTAACTGGACTAGGTGCCCTCTCGTCAGGCTTGATTATTCGACTGGGTGCCTTCTCATCAGTCTTGACTGGGCTGGGTGCTTTTTCATCAGGCGTGACGCGGCTGGGTGCCTTTTCATCAGCCTTGACTGGTGTGGATACCTTCTCCTTAAGCTTGTCATCCACCACTTCTTCGTCGTCAGGTTTGACTGGACTCGGTGCCTTCTCATCAGTCATGACCAGACTGGGTGTTTCCTCATCCGGCTCAACTAAGCTCGGTGCCTTCTCGTCAGGCTTAATTGGACTGGGTGCCTTCTCATCAGTCTTGACCGGACTGGGTGTTATCTTATCTGCCTTAACTGGGCTAGGAGCCTTTTCATCAGCCTTGACTGGTGTGGATGCCTTTTCATCAGGTTTGGTTGGACCAGGCACCTTCTCCTCAAGCTTGTCATCCACTACTTCTTCGTCGTCAGGTTTGACTGGGCTGAGTGTCTTCTCATCAGTCTTGACTGGGCTGGGTGTTTTCTCATCCAGCTCAACTAGGCTAGGTGCCTTATCTTCAGGCTTGATCGGCTCTTCAGGCTTGATTAGACTGGGTGCCTTCTCATCTGCCTTAACGGGGCTATGTGCCTTCTCGTCAGTCTTGACTGGGCTGAGTGTTTTCTCATCCGGCTCAACTGGGCTCGGTGCCTTCTCGTCAGGCTTGGTTGGACTGGGTGCCTTCTCATCTGCCTTAACTGAGCTAGGTGCCTTGTCGTCAGGCTTGATTGGGCTGGGTGCCTTCTCATCCGGCTCAACTGGGCTCGGTGCCTTCTCGTCAGGCTTGGTTGGACTGGGTGCCTTCTCATCTGCCTTAACTGAGCTAGGTGCCTTGTCGTCAGGCTTGATTGGGCTGGGTGCCTTCTCATCCGGCTCAACTGGGCTCGGTGCCTTCTCGTCAGGCTTGATTGGAGTGGGTGCCTTCTCGTCAGGCTTGGTTGGACTGGGTGCCTTCTCGTCAGGCTTGGTTGAACTGGGTGCCTTCTCGTCAGCCATGACTGGGCTGAGTGTTTTCTCATCCGGCTCAACTGGGCTCGGTACCTTCTCGTCAGGCTTGATTAGACTGGGTGCCTTCTCATCTGCCTTAACTGGGCTAGGTGCCTTGTCGTCAGGCTTGATTAGACTGGGTGCCTTCTCATCTGCCTTAACTGGGCTAGGTGCCTTGTCGTCAGGCTTGATTGGGATGGGTGTTTTCTCATCCGGCTCAACTGGGCTCGGTGCCTTCTCGTCAGGTATGGTTGGACTGGGTGCCTTCTCATCTGCCTTAACTGAGCTAGGTGCCTTCTCGTCAGTCTTGACTGGGCTGAGTGCCATCTTATCCGGCTCAACTGGGCTAGATGCCTTGTCGTCAGGCTTGATTAGACTGGCTGCCTTCTCATCTGCCTTAACAAGGCTAGGTGGCTTCTCGTCAGGCTTGATTGGACTAGGTACCTTTTCATCTGCCTTAACAGGGCTAGGTGCCTTGTCATCAGTCTTGACTGGGCTGGGTGTTTTCTCATCCGGCTCAACTGGGCTCGGTGCGTCAAGCTTGATTGGACTGGGTGTCTTCTCATCGGTCTTAACAAGGCTAGGTGCCTTGTCGTCAGGCTTGATTGGGCTGGGTGCCTTCTCATCCGGCTCAACTGGGCTCGGTGCCTTCTCGTCAAGCTTGATTGGACTGGGTGCCTTCTCATCTGCCTTAACTGCGCTAGGTGCCTTGTCGTCAGGCTTGATTGGGCTGGGTGTTTTATCATCCGGCTCAACTGGGCTCGGTGCCTTCTCGTCAGGCTTGATTGGACTGGGTGCCTTCTCGTCAGGCTTGGTTGGACTGGGTGCCTTCTCGTCAGGCTTGGTTGGACTGGGTGCCTTCTCATCCGGCTCAACTGGGCTCGGTGCCTTCTCGTCAAGCTTGATTGGACTGGGTGCCTTCTCATCTGCCTTAACGGGGCTAGGTGCCTTCTCGTCAGCTATGACTGGGCTGAGTGTTTTCTCATCCGGCTCAACTGGGCTCGGTACCTTCTCGTCAAGCTTGATTGGACTGGGTGTCTTCTCATCGGTCTTAACAAGGCTAGGTGCCTTGTCGTCAGGCTTGATTGGGCTGGGTGCCTTCTCATCCGGCTCAACTGGGCTCGGTGCCTTCTCGTCAAGCTTGATTGGACTGGGTGCCTTCTCATCTGCCTTAACGGGGCTAGGTGCCTTCTCGTCAGCTATGACTGGGCTGAGTGTTTTCTCATCCGGCTCAACTGGGCTCGGTACCTTCTCGTCAAGCTTGATTGGACTGGGTGTCTTCTCATCGGTCTTAACAAGGCTAGGTGCCTTGTCGTCAGGCTTGATTAGGCTGGGTGCCTTCTCGTCAGGCTTGCTTGGACTGGGTGCCTTCTCGTCAGGCTTGGTTGGACTCGGTGCCTTCTCATCGGCCTTAAGGCTAGGTGCCTTCTCATCAGCCATGACTGGGCTGAGTGTTTTCTCATCCGGCTCAACTGGGCTCGGTGCCTTCTCGTCAGGCTTGATTGGACTAGGTGCCTTCTCATCTGCCTTAACGGGGCTAGGTGCCTTCTCGTCAGCCTTGACTGGGCTGAGTGTTTTCTCATCCGGCTCAACTGGGCTAGGTGCCTTCTCGTCAGCCTTGACTGGGCTGAGTGTTTTCTCATCCGGCTCAACTGGGCTCGGTGCCTTCTCGTCAGGCTTGATTGGACTGGGTGCCTTCTCATCTGCCTTAACGGGGCTAGGTGCCTTCTCGTCAGCCATGACTGGGCTGAGTGTTTTCTCATCCGGCTCAACTGGGCTCGGTGCCTTCTCGTCAGGCTTGATTGGACTGGGTGCCTTCTCGTCTGCCTTAACGGGGCTAGGTGCCTTCTCGTCAGTCTTGACTGGGCTGAGTGTTTTCTCATCCGGCTCAACTGGGCTAAGTGCCTTCTCGTCAGGTATGGTTGGACTGGGTGCCTTCTCATCTGCCTTAACGGGGCTAGGTGCCTTGTCGTCAGCCTTGACTGGGCTGAGCGTTTTCTCATCCGGCTCAACTGGGCTCGGTGCCTTCTCGTCAGGCTTGATTGGAGTGGGTGCCTTCTCGTCTGCCTTAACGGGGCTAGGTGCCTTCTCGTCAGCCTTGACTGGGCTGAGTGTTTTCTCATCCGACTCAACTGGGCTCGGTGCCTTCTCGTCAGGCTTGATTAGACTGGGTGCCTTCTCATCTGCCTTAACTGGGCTAGGTGCCTTGTCGTCAGGCTTGATTGGGCTGGGTGTTTTCTCATCCGGCTCAACTGGGCTCGGTGCCTTCTCGTCAGGCTTGATTGGGCTGAGTGTTTTCTCATCCGGCTCAACTGGGCTCGGTGCCTTCTCGTCAGGCTTGATTGGACTGGGTGCCTTCTCATCTGCCTTAACTGCGCTAGGTGCCTTGTCGTCAGGCTTGACTGGGCTGGGTGTTTTCTCATCCGGCTCAACTGGGCTCGGTGCCTTCTCGTCAGGCTTGATTAGACTGGGTGCCTTCTCATCTTCCTTAACAGGGCTATGTGCCTTCTCATCGGCTTTGACTGGGCTCTGCGCCTTTTCATCGGGCTTGACTGGGCTGGGTGCCTTCTCATCAGTCTTTACTGGGCTGGGTACCTTCTCGTCAGGCTTGATTGGACTGGGTGCCTTCTCATCTGCCTTAACTGGGCTAGGTGCCTTGTCGTCAGGCTTGATTGGGCTGGGTGTTTTCTCATCCAGCTCAACTGGGCTCGGTGCCTTCTCGTCAGGCTTGATTAGACTGGGTGCCTTCTCATCTTCCTTAACAGGGCTATGTGCCTTCTCATCGGCTTTGACTGGGCTCTGCGCCTTTTCATCGGGCTTGACTGGGCTGGGTGCCTTCTCATCAGTCTTTACTGGGCTGGGTACCTTCTCGTCAGGCTTGATTGGACTGGGTGCCTTCTCATCTGCCTTAACTGCGCTAGGTGCCTTGTCGTCAGGCTTGATTGGGCTGGGTGTTTTATCATCCGGCTCAACTGGGCTCGGTGCCTTCTCGTCAGGCTTGATTGGACTGGGTGCCTTCTCGTCAGGCTTGGTTGGACTGGGTGCCTTCTCGTCAGGCTTGGTTGGACTGGGTGCCTTCTCATCTGCCTTGACGGGGCTAGGTGCCTTGTCGTCAGGCTTGATTGGGCTGGGTGTTTTCTCATCCGGCTCAACTGGGCTCGGTGCCTTGTCGTCAGGCTTGATTGGACTGGGTGCCTTCTCGACAGGCTTGACCGGCTCTTCAAGCTTGATAAGACTGGGTGCCTTCTCATCGGCCTTAACAAGGCTCGGTGCCTTCTCGTCAGGCTGAATTGGACTGGGTGCCTTCTCATCTCCCTTAACTGGGCTAGGTGCCTTGTCGTCAGGCTTGATTGGACTGGGTGCCTTCTCATCTGCCTTAACTGAGCTAGGTGCCTTCTCGTCAGTCTTGACTGGGCTGAGTGCCATCTTATCCGGCTCAACTGGGCTAGATGCCTTGTCGTCAGGCTTGATTGGACTGGGTGCCTTCTCGTCAGGCTTGACCGGCTCTTCAGGCTTGATTAGACTGGCTGCCTTCTCATCTGCCTTAACAAGGCTAGGTGGCTTCTCGTCAGGCTTGATTGGACTAGGTACCTTTTCATCTGCCTTAACAGGGCTAGGTGCCTTGTCATCAGTCTTGACTGGGCTGGGTGTTTTCTCATCCGGCTCAACTGGGCTCGGTGCCTTCTCGTCAAGCTTGATTGGACTGGGTGTCTTCTCATCGGTCTTAACAAGGCTAGGTGCCTTGTCGTCAGGCTTGATTGGGCTGGGTGCCTTCTCATCCGGCTCAACTGGGCTCGGTGCCTTCTCGTCAAGCTTGATTGGACTGGGTGCCTTCTCATCTGCCTTAACGGGGCTAGGTGCCTTCTCGTCAGCTATGACTGGGCTGAGTGTTTTCTCATCCGGCTCAACTGGGCTCGGTACCTTCTCGTCAAGCTTGATTGGACTGGGTGTCTTCTCATCGGTCTTAACAAGGCTAGGTGCCTTGTCGTCAGGCTTGATTGGGCTGGGTGCCTTCTCATCCGGCTCAACTGGGCTAGATGCCTTCTCGTCAGGCTTGATTGGGCTGGGTGCCTTCTCATCCGGCTCAACTGGGCTAGATGCCTTCTCGTCAGGCTTGATTGAACTGGGTGCCTCCTCGACAGTCTTGACCGGCTCTTCAAGCTTGATAAGACTGGGTGCCTTCTCATCGGCCTTAACAAGGCTCGGTGCCTTCTCGTCAGGCTGAATTGGACTGGGTGCCTTCTCATCTGCCTTAACTGGGCTAGGTGCCTTCTCGTCAGGCTTGATTGGACTGGGTGCCTTCTCATCCGGCTCAACTGGGCTCGGTGCCTTCTCGTCAGGCTTGGTTGGACTAGGTGCCTTCTCATCTGCCTTAACTTGGCTCGGTGCCTTCTCGTCAGGTTTGATTAGACTGGGTGCCTTCTCGTCAGGCTTGACCGGCTCTTCAGGCTTGATTGGACTGGGTACCTTCTCATCTGCCTTAACAAGGTTAGGTGCCTTGTCGTCAGGCTTGATTGGGCTGGGTGTTTTCTCATCCGGCTCAACTGGGCTAGGTGCCTTCTCGTCAGGCTTGATCGGACTGGGTGTCTTCTCATCCGCCTTAACTGGGCTAGGTGCCTTGTCGTCAGGCTTGACTGGGCTGAGTGTTTTCTCATCCGGCTCAACTGGGCTCGGTGCCTTCTCGTCAGGCTTGGTTGGACTGAGTGTTTTCTCATCCGGCTCAACTGGGCTAGATGCCTTCTCGTCAGGCTTGATTGGACTGGGTGCCTTCTCATCTGCCTTAACGGGGCTAGGTGCCTTGTCGTCAGGCTGAATTGGACTGGGTGCCTTCTCGTCAGGCTTGACCGGCTCTTCAGGCTTGATTGGACTGGGTACCTTCTCATCTGCCTTAACTGGGCTCGGTGCCTTCTCGTCAAGCTTGATTGGACTGGGTGTCTTCTCATCGGTCTTAACAAGGCTAGGTGCCTTGTCGTCAGGCTTGATTGGGCTGGGTGCCTTCTCATCCGGCTCAACTGGGCTCGGTGCCTTCTCGTCAAGCTTGATTGGACTGGGTGCCTTCTCATCTGCCTTAACGGGGCTAGGTGCCTTCTCGTCAGCTATGACTGGGCTGAGTGTTTTCTCATCCGGCTCAACTGGGCTCGGTACCTTCTCGTCAAGCTTGATTGGACTGGTTTCTCATCGGTCTTAACAAGGCTAGGTGCCTTGTCGTCAGGCTTGATTGGGCTGGGTGCCTTCTCATCCGGCTCAACTGGGCTAGATGCCTTCTCGTCAGGCTTGATTGGGCTGGGTGCCTTCTCATCCGGCTCAACTGGGCTAGATGCCTTCTCGTCAGGCTTGATTGAACTGGGTGCCTCCTCGACAGTCTTGACCGGCTCTTCAAGCTTGATAAGACTGGGTGCCTTCTCATCGGCCTTAACAAGGCTCGGTGCCTTCTCGTCAGGCTGAATTGGACTGGGTGCCTTCTCATCTGCCTTAACTGGGCTAGGTGCCTTCTCGTCAGGCTTGATTGGACTGGGTGCCTTCTCATCCGGCTCAACTGGGCTCGGTGCCTTCTCGTCAGGCTTGGTTGGACTAGGTGCCTTCTCATCTGCCTTAACTTGGCTCGGTGCCTTCTCGTCAGGTTTGATTAGACTGGGTGCCTTCTCGTCAGGCTTGACCGGCTCTTCAGGCTTGATTGGACTGGGTACCTTCTCATCTGCCTTAACAAGGTTAGGTGCCTTGTCGTCAGGCTTGATTGGGCTGGGTGTTTTCTCATCCGGCTCAACTGGGCTAGGTGCCTTCTCGTCAGGCTTGATCGGACTGGGTGTCTTCTCATCCGCCTTAACTGGGCTAGGTGCCTTGTCGTCAGGCTTGACTGGGCTGAGTGTTTTCTCATCCGGCTCAACTGGGCTCGGTGCCTTCTCGTCAGGCTTGGTTGGACTGAGTGTTTTCTCATCCGGCTCAACTGGGCTAGATGCCTTCTCGTCAGGCTTGATTGGACTGGGTGCCTTCTCATCTGCCTTAACGGGGCTAGGTGCCTTGTCGTCAGGCTGAATTGGACTGGGTGCCTTCTCGTCAGGCTTGACCGGCTCTTCAGGCTTGATTGGACTGGGTACCTTCTCATCTGCCTTAACTGGGCTAGGTGCCTTGTCGTCAGGCTTGATTGGACTGGGTACCTTCTCATCTCCCTTAACTGGGCTAGGTGCCTTCTCATCCGGCTCAACTGGGCTCGGTGCCTTCTCGTCAGGCTTGATTGGACTGAGTGTTTTCTCATCTGCCTTAACTGGGCTAGGTGCCTTCTCGTCAGGCTTGGTTGGACTGAGTGTTTTCTCATCCGGCTCAACTGGGCTCGGTGCCTTCTCGTCAGGCTTGGTTGGACTGGGTGCCTTCTCATCTGCCTTAACGGGGCTAGGTGCCTTGGCGTCAGGCTGAATTGGACTGGGTGCCTTCTCGTCAGGCTTGACCGGCTCTTCAGGCTTGATTGGACTGGGTACCTTCTCATCTGCCTTAACTGGGCTAGGTGCCTTGTCGTCAGGCTTGATTGGACTGGGTGCCTTCTCATCCGGCTCAACTGGGCTTGGTGCCTTCTCGTCAGGCTTGGTTGGACTAGGTGCCTTCTCATCTGCCTTAACTGGGCTAGGTGCCTTGTCGTCAGGCTTGGTTGGACTGGGTGCCTTCTCGTCAGGCTTGGCCTGCTCGTCAGGCTTGATTGGACTGGGTGCCTTCTCATCCAGCTCAACTGGGCTTGGTGCCTTCTCGTCAGGCTTGGTTGGACTAGGTGCCTTCTCATCTGCCTTAACTGGGCTAGATGCCTTGTCGTCAGGCTTGATTGGACTGGGTGCCTTCTCGTCAGGCTTGATTGGACTGGGTGCCTTCTCGTCAGGCTGAATTGGACTGGGTGCCTTCTCATCTGCCTTAACTGGGCTAGTGCCTTGTCGTTAGGCTTGGTTGGACTGGGTGCCTTCTCGTCAGGCTTGGACTGGTCCTTCTCGTCAGGCTGATTGGACTGGGTGCCTTCTCATCTGCCTTAACTGGCTAGTGCCTTGTCGACTTGGTTGGACTGCCTTCTCGTCAGCTTGCCTCGTCAGGCTTGATTGGACTGGGTGCCTTCTCGTCAGGCTTGGTTGGACTGGGTGCCTTTTCATCTGCCTTAACAGGGCTAGGTGCCTTGTCATCAGGCTTGACAGGGCTGGGTGTCTCCTCATCTGGCTTGACTGGGCTTGGTGCCTTCATATCAGGCTTGACTAGGCTGGGTGCTTTCCCATCAAACTTGACTGGGCTCGGTGTCTTTTCTTTAGGCTTGACTGGACTGGGTGCCTTTTCGTCAGGTATAACTGGGCTGGGTGCTTTTTCATCCAGCTTGTCATGTGCAATTTCTTTGTCATGAGGCTTGACTTGGCTAGCCACTTTCTCATCCGGCTTAACTGGGCTCGGTGCTTTCTCGTCAGTCTTGACTGGGCTGGGTGTTTTCTCATCCAGCTCAACTGGGCTCGGTGCCTTCTCGTCAGGCTTGATTAGACTGGGTGCCTTCTCATCTTCCTTAACAGGGCTATGTGCCTTCTCATCGGCTTTGACTGGGCTCTGCGCCTTTTCATCGGGCTTGACTGGGCTGGGTGCCTTCTCATCAGTCTTTACTGGGCTGGGTACCTTCTCGTCAGGCTTGGTTGGACTGGGTGCCTTCTCGTCTGCCTTAACTGGACTAGGTGCTTTAGTAATAGATTCCACTGGGCTATGTTCTGTACCATCATATGTATCAGGGCTGGGCAATAAGAGGTTGATATCTGTAACTGGCGTTGGCTCCTTTACTTCAATTTTAACCATACTCTTTTTAGGTTTTGTGTCTGCAACAGAAACTTCTTTAAACGTTCTACTAAATTTTGTGCCATCGGGTAGTTCATCGGCCTCTAATGAAATTACTGTTATTTTGTATTTGAACACTGTCTTATTTATATTAGTATATTCCTGTATTACAGTTGTTATTGTTGTTTTTCTAATTATGATAATACCACGTTCGGTGACTGTTACTACTTGTGATGTTGTATCTTCTTCTGTTTCACCTATTGGTTCAAAGCCATTAAGCTGTTCCTCAATTTCTATTTCATCAATAGTGTTTATTGTATCACTTCCTAATAAAGACAAACCTTTATCTACAGAAATATCGAGACCAGATTCAAGATGTTCCGAAATTTGCTTTTCGAAGATATCAAAATTTTTCGTAAGTGGCTCAGTGTCCTCCACTAAAGCGGGACTGAGAACTTCTTCATCTGATTCAGCTGGACTTGGTTTAAAACTAGAGATCAAGTCAAGTTTTACTGGTTTTATAATTTTTTCATCGGTCCTGTCTGTACTGAGCGTCATTTCACTAAATTGGTCACCTATGGGCTCTTTTTCATCAACCGTGTCAGATGCGGGCTTATCATCAGATTTGAAGGAACTAGGTACTTTCTGTTGCTTGCTATCTACAGTCTTCATTGCATCAAACTTTACTGGGCTGCGTACCTTCTCATCAAGCTTTGCTGGACTAGGTACTTTTTCGTCAATCTTGTCATCTGCAGTTTCCTTCTCATCCACTTTGACAGGGCTAGGTGATGCCGTATCAGGCTTGACTGAAATGGGTGCTTCTTCATTAGGCTTGACGGCGCTAGGTGTCTCTTCATCAGCCTTCACAGGGCTGGGTGTCTTCTCAACAGGCTGGACTGGGCTGGGTGCTTTTTCATCAGGTTTGATTAGGCTGGGTGTTTTTGCATCAGGCTTAGCTGGGCTAGCCATCTCCTCGTCAAGCTTGTCGTCAACTATTTCCTTCTCATCAAGTTTAACTGGGCTGGGTGCCTTCTCATCAGGCTTGACTGGGCTAGCTACCTTCTCATCAAGTTTGACTGGGCTGGGTGCTTTGTCATTAAGCCTAGCTGGGCTAGTCGCTTTCTCAGCAGCCTTGATAGGGCTGTGTGCCTTCTCGTCAGGCTTGATTGGGCTAGGTACTTTTTCATCTAGCTTGTCAGCCGTAGTTTCTTTGAGATCAGGCTTGACTCGGCTAGCCACCTTCTCATCAGGTTTGACTGGGCTAGATGCTTCTTTATCAGGCTTATCTGAGCTAGGCGCTTTCTCGTCAAGCTTGTCAACTGCAGACACTTTCTCATCACTCTTGATAGGGCTGGGTGCTTTCTCATCAGGCTTGACTGGGCTAGGTGCCTTTTCATCTAGCTTGTCATCTGGAGTCTTCTTCTCATCAGCCTTGATAGGGCTGGGTGCCTTCTCGTCAGGCTTGACTGGGCTGTGTGCTTTTGCATCAAGCTTGTTATCTGCAGACACTTTCTCATCAGCCTTGATAGGGCTGGGTGCTTCCTCATCAGGCTTAGCTGGGCTTGGCGTTTTCTCAACAAGGTTGTCATCTGCAGTTTCTTTGTCATCTGGCTTGACTGGGCTAGGCACTTTCTCATCAGGCTTGACTGGGCTAGACATTTTCTCATCAGGCTTGCCGGGGCTAGGTGCCTTCGCATCAGGCAAATCGTCAATCTTTACGTCTTGGTGCTCACCATCGATTGTTTTTTCTTCGTCTTTGATGTGATGTATATCCTTTTCTAAATCAACTTGCTTGTTATCAAGTTTGTTAGAAATGATATCTTTTGGTGTGATTTCATCGAGTTGTAGTTCCATCTTCAAGTCTTGTTTTGTATTGATAACCAGTTCATCACTTGTGCGTAAATGGTGTTCAGTAGTTTCCTTGATTTCAGTTTTATCTGTTATCAATTTATTGGTTATTTGTTCAAGGGTTTTTTCTACTTTCTCGGTGATATATATATCTTTGTCAGAAACGATCTGTTTGCTATCTTTTTCTAGGTAAATGTCATCTTTTTCTATATTTGTCATCAAAAGACTGTCTTGTATAGGGCTCGCATCAGATACAAGATCGGGGCTAGGTACTTCATTATCGGGTTGTTCTCCCTCATCTTTTAAACCCGTAAGTTGTTTTGTTATTGTACTGTGGAGCAGGTCATCTTTGATATTAGTACCTTGATCCATATCATCCGTTATCTGAGCCTCTTTCTCTGGACTAGGTTCTTTTTCAGGAACTTTGCTGAGAATGGCATCAGAAATTTTGAATGCTAATGATTTTTCATCGATGGTGACTATTGTTCCAATTATTTCGTCCGCTTCTATTTCAATTTCCTCCTTCGAGCTTATTTTAGTATCACTTTCAGGAGCTACGTGTATGTCTTTAAGAGAATGTTTATCTATGACTATAAAACCATCTTCATTTTCTTCCTTATCAACTAATTTTTGACTATCCACTTCAACACTGCCAAAAGTTTTACTTGGACTAAATTTGTCATCTATAAGTTTGTCAGAGTCCTGGTCAGGTACTTTGCTAATTTTTTCTACAGATATAATGCTAGAAAGGTCTTCATCAGTCTCAGAAAGACTTAATTCTTTTTCGTCTACTTTGTCATCTATCTTCACTGGTATGGGTACTTTCTCGTCGAGATGTACTGGGCTGGATGCCTTTTCACCAGGCATTGTAAGGATTGGTTTCCTCTCCTCAGGCTTGACTGGGCTAGGTTCTTTGTCATCTGGCTTGACTGGGCTGGGTATTTTCTCATCGAGAAGTACTGGGCTGGGAGCTTTATCGTCCGAAGTAATGAGCCTTGGTTTTCCGTCATCAGGCTTAACCGGGCTTGGTTCTTCTTCATCCACCTTGTCTGGGCTGGGTACCTTTTCATCTAGATGTACTGGGCTGGGTATTTTGTCATCGAGATGTACTGCGCTTGGAGCTTTATCGTCCGACGTAATGAGACTTGGTTTCCTGTCGTCAGGCTTAACCGGGCTTGGTTCTTTTTCATCCACCTTGACTGGGCTGGGTACTTTCTCATCTGGATGTACTGGGCTGGAAGCCTTTTCTTCTGGCGTGATGAGACTTGGTTTCCTCTCATCAGGTTTAAGTGGACTAGGCTCTTTGTCATCTGACTGGATTGGGCTGGGTACTTTGTCATCGAGATGTACTGGGCTGGGAGCTTTATCGTCCGACGTAATGAGACTTGGTTTTCTGTCATCAGGCTTAATCGGGCTTGGTTCTTTGTCATCTGGCTTGATTGGGCTGGGTACTTTCTCATCTGGCTTGACTGGGCTGGGTATTTTCTCATCGAGATGTACTGGGCTGGGAGCTTTTTCTTCTGGCGTCGTAAGGCTTGGTTTCCTCTCCTCAGGCTTGACCGGGCTAGGTTCCTTGTCATCTGGCTTGACTGGGCTGGGTACTTTCTCATCGAGATGTACTGGGCTGGGTGCCTTTTCTTCTGTCGTGATGAGACTTGGTTTTCTATCATCAGGCTTAACTGGACTAGGCTCTTTGTCATCTGGCTTGACTGGGCTGGGTACTTTCTCATCGACATGTACTGGGCTGGGAGCTTTATCGTCCGACGTAATAAGACTTGGTTTTCTGTCATCCGGCTTAACCGGGCTTGGTTCTTTGTCATCTGGCTTGACCGGGCTTGGTTCTTTTTCATCCACCTTGACTGGGCTGGGTACTTTCTCATCTGGATGTACTAGGCTGGAAGCCTTTTCTTCTGGCGTGATGAGACTTGGTTTCCTCTCATCAGGTTTAAGTGGACTAGGCTCTTTGTCATCTGACTGGATTGGGCTGGGTACTTTGTCATCGAGATGTACTGGGCTGGGAGCTTTATCGTCCGACGTAATGAGACTTGGTTTTCTGTCATCAGGCTTAATCGGGCTTCGTTCTTTGTCATCTGGCTTAACTGGGCTGGGTACTTTCTCATCTGGCTTGACTGGGCTGGGTATTTTCTCATCGAGATGTACTGGGCTGGGAGCTTTTTCTTCTGGCGTCGTAAGGCTTGGCTTCCTCTCCTCAGGCTTGACTGGGCTAGGTTCCTTGTCATCTGGCTTGACTGGGCTGGGTACTTTCTCATCTGGCTTGACTGGGCTGGGTATTTTCTCATCGAGATGTACTGGGCTGGGAGCTTTTTCTTCTGGCGTCATAAGGCTTGGCTTCCTCTCCTCAGGCTTGACTGGGCTAGGTTCCTTGTCATCTGGCTTGACTGGGCTGGGTACTTTCTCATCGAGATGTACTGGGCTGGGAGCCTTTTCTTCTGGTGAAATGAGACTAGGTTTCCTCTCATCAGATTTAACTGGACTAGGCTCTTTGTCATCTGGCTTGACTGGGCTAGGTACTTTCTCATCGAAATGTACTGGGCTGGGTGCCTTTTCTTCTGTCGTGATGAGACTTGGTTTTCTATCATCAGGCTTAACTGGACTAGGCTCTTTGTCATCTGGCTTGACTGGGCTGGGTACTTTCTCATCGAGATGTACTGGGCCAGGCGCTTTTTCTTCTGGTGTGATGAGACTCAGTTTCCTCTCATTAGGTTTAACTGGACTAGGCTCTTTATCATCTGGCTTGACTGGGCTGGGTACTTTCTCATCGAGATGTACTGGGCTGGGAGCCTTTTCTTCTGGCGTGATGAGGCTAGGTTTCCTCTCATCAGGTTTACCTAGACTAGGTTCCTTGTCATCTGGCTTGACTGGGCTGGGTACTTTCTCATCGAGATGTACTGGGCTGGGTGCCTTTTCTTCTGTCGTGATGAGACTTGGTTTTCTCTCATCAGGTTTACCTAGACTAGGTTCCTTGTCATCTGGCTTGACTGGGCTGGGTACTTTCTCATCGACATGTACTGGGCTGGGAGCTTTATCGTCCGAAGTAATGAGACTTGGTTTTCTGTCATCAGGCTTAACCGGGCTTGGTTCTTTGTCATCTGGCTTGACTGGGCTGGGTACTTTCTCATCTGGCTTGACTGGGCTGGGTACTTTCTCATCGAGATGTACTGGGCTGGGAGCTTTATCGTCCGACGAAATGAGACTTGGTTTTCTCTCATCAAGCTTAACCAGGCTTGGTTCTTTTTCATCCACCTTGTCTGGACTGGGTACTTTCTCATCAACATGTACTGGGCTAGGCGCCTTTTCTTCTGGCGTGATGAGGCTAGGTTTCCTCTCATCAGGTTTACCTAGACTAGGTTCCTTGTCATCTGGCTTGACTGGGCTGGGTACTTTCTCATCGAGATGTACTGGGCTGGGTGCCTTTTCTTCTGTCGTGATGAGACTTGGTTTTCTCTCATCAGGTTTACCTAGACTAGGTTCCTTGTCATCTGGCTTGACTGGGCTGGGTACTTTCTCATCGAGATGTACTGGGCTGGGTGCCTTTTCTTCTGGCGTGATGAGACTAGGTTTCCTCTCATCAGGTTTAACTGGACTAGACTCTTTTTCATCCACCTTGTCTGGGCTGGGTACTTTCTCATCTGGCTTGACTGGGCTGGGTATTTTCTCATCAAGATGTACTGGGCTGGGAGCCTTTTCTTCTGGCGTGATGAGACTAGGTTTCCTCTCATCAGGTTTAACTGGACTAGACTCTTTTTCATCCACCTTGTCTGGGCTGGGTACTTTCTCATCTGGCTTGACTGGGTTGGGTATTTTCTCATCAAGATGTACTGGGCTGGGAGCCTTTTCTTCTGGCGTGATGAGACTTGGCTTCCTCTCATCAGATTTAACTGGACTAGGCTCTTTGTCATCTGGCTTGACTGGGCTGGGTACTTTCTCATCGAGATGTACTGGGCTGGGTGCCTTTTCTTCTGGCGTGATGAGACTTGGCTTCCTCTCATCAGATTTAACTGGACTAGGCTCTTTGTCATCTGGCTTGGCTGGGCTAGGTACTTTCTCATCGAGATGTACTGGGCTGGGTGCCTTTTCTTCTGGCGTGATGAGACTTGGCTTCCTCTCATCAGATTTAACTGGACTAGGCTCTTTGTCATCTGGCTTGGCTGGGCTAGGTACTTTCTCATCGAGATGTACTGGGCTGGGTGCCTTTTCTTCTGTCGTGATGAGACTTGGCTTCCTCTCATCAGATTTAACTGGACTAGGCTCTTTGTCATCTGGCTTGGCTGGGCTGGGTACTTTCTCATCGAGATGTACTGGGCTTGGAGCCTTTTCTTCTGGCGTGATGAGACTTGGCTTCCTCTCATCAGATTTAACTGGACTAGGCTCTTTGTCATCTGGCTTGGCTGGGCTGGGTACTTTCTCATCGAGATGTACTGGGCTTGGAGCCTTTTCTTCTGGCGTGATGAGACTTGGCTTCCTCTCATCAGATTTAACTGGACTAGGCTCTTTGTCATCTGGCTTGACTGGGCTGGGTACTTTCTCATCGAAATGTACTGGGCTGGGTGCCTTTTCTTCTGTCGTGATGAGACTTGGTTTTCTATCATCAAGCTTAACTGGACTAGGCTCTTTGTCATCTGGCTTGACTGGGCTGGGTACGGGTACCTTCTCATCTGGCTTGACTAGGCTGGGTACTTTCTCATCGAGATGTACTGGGCTGGGAGCCTTTTCTTCTGGCGTGATGAGACTTGGTTTTCTCTCATCAGGTTCACCTAGACTAGGATCTTTGTCATCTGGCTTGACTGGGCTAGCTTCTTTCTCATCGAGATGTACTGGGCTGGGTGCCTTTTCTTCTGTCGTGATGAGACTTGGTTTTCTATCATCAGGCTTAATTGGACTAGGCTCTTTGTCACCTGGCTTGACTGGGCTGGGTACTTTCTCATCGAGATGTACTGGGCTGGGAGCTTTATCGTCCGAAGTAATGAGACTTGGTTTTCTGTCATCAGGCTTAACCGGGCTTGGTTCATTGTCATCTGGCTTGACTGGGCTGGGTACTTTCTCATCGAGATGTACTGGGCTGGGAGCTTTATCGTCCGAAGTAATGAGACTTGGTTTTCTGTCATCAGGCTTAACCGGGCTTGGTTCATTGTCATCTGGCTTGACTGGGCTGGGTACTTTCTCATCGAGATGTACTGGGCTGGGAGCCTTTTCTTCTGGCGTGATGAGACTTGGCTTCCTCTCATCAGGCTTAACCAGGCTTGGTTCTTTGTCATCTGGCTTGACTAGGCTGGGTACTTTCTCATCGAGATGTACTGGGCTAGGCGCCTTTTCTTCTGGCGTGATGAGGCTAGGTTTCCTCTCATCAGGTTTACCTAGACTAGGTTCCTTGTCATCTGGCTTGACTGGGCTGGGTACTTTCTCATCGACATGTACTGGGCTGGGAGCTTTATCGTCTGAAGTAATGAGACTTGGTTTTCTGTCATCAGGCTTAACCGGGCTTGGTTCTTTGTCATCTGGCTTGACTGGGCTGGGTACCTTCTCATCGAGATGTACTGGGCTGGGTGCCTTTTCTTCTGTCGTAATGAGACTTGGTTTTCTCTCATCAGGCTTAACCAGGCTTGGTTCTTTGTCATCTGGCTTGACTAGGCTGGGTACTTTCTCATCGAGATGTATTGGGCTGGGAGCCTTTTCTTCTGGCGTGATGAGACTTGGTTTTCTCTCATCAGGTTCACCTAGACTAGGATCTTTGTCATCTGGCTTGACTGGGCTAGCTTCTTTCTCATCGAGATGTACTGGGCTGGGTGCCTTTTCTTCTGTCGTGATGAGACTTGGTTTTCTATCATCAGGCTTAACTGGACTAGGCTCTTTGTCATCTGGCTTGACTGGGCTGGGTACTTTCTCATCGAGATGTACTGGGCTTGGAGCCTTTTCTTCTGGCGTGATGAGACTTGGCTTCCTCTCATCAGATTTAACTGGACTAGGCTCTTTGTCATCTGGCTTGGCTGGGCTGGGTACGGGTACCTTCTCATCTGGCTTGACTAGGCTGGGTACTTTCTCATCGAGATGTACTGGGCTGGGAGCCTTTTCTTCTGGCGTGATGAGACTTGGTTTTCTCTCATCAGGTTCACCTAGACTAGGATCTTTGTCATCTGGCTTGACTGGGCTAGCTTCTTTCTCATCGAGATGTACTGGGCTGGGTGCCTTTTCTTCTGTCGTGATGAGACTTGGCTTCCTCTCATCAGATTTAACTGGACTAGGCTCTTTGTCATCTGGCTTGACTGGGCTGGGTACGGGTACCTTCTCATCTGGCTTGACTAGGCTGGGTACTTTCTCATCGAGATGTACTGGGCTGGGAGCCTTTTCTTCTGGCGTGATGAGACTTGGTTTTCTCTCATCAGGTTCACCTAGACTAGGATCTTTGTCATCTGGCTTGACTGGGCTAGCTTCTTTCTCATCGAGATGTACTGGGCTGGGTGCCTTTTCTTCTGTCGTGATGAGACTTGGTTTTCTATCATCAGGCTTAACTGGACTAGGCTCTTTGTCATCTGGCTTGACTGGGCTGGGTACTTTCTCATCGAGATGTACTGGGCTGGGAGCCTTTTCTTCTGGCGTGATGAGACTTGGTTTTCTATCATCAGGCTTAATTGGACTAGGCTCTTTGTCACCTGGCTTGACTGGGCTGGGTACTTTCTCATCGAGATGTACTGGGCTGGGAGCTTTATCGTCCGAAGTAATGAGACTTGGTTTTCTGTCATCAGGCTTAACCGGGCTTGGTTCTTTGTCATCTGGCTTGACTGGGCTGGGTACTTTCTCATCGAGATGTACTGGGCTGGGAGCCTTTTCTTCTGGCGTGATGAGACTTGGCTTCCTCTCATCAGATTTATTTGGACTAGGCTCTTTATCATCTGGCTTGACTGGGCTGGGTACTTTCTCATCGACATGTACTGGGCTGGGAGCTTTATCGTCTGAAGTAATGAGACTTGGTTTTCTGTCATCAGGCTTAACCGGGCTTGGTTCTTTGTCATCTGGCTTGACTGGGCTGGGTACCTTCTCATCGAGATGTACTGGGCTGGGTGCCTTTTCTTCTGTCGTAATGAGACTTGGTTTTCTCTCATCAGGCTTAACCAGGCTTGGTTCTTTGTCATCTGGCTTGACTGGGTTGGGTACCTTCTCATCTGGCTTGACTAGGCTGGGTACTTTCTCATCGAGATGTACTGGGCTAGGCGCCTTTTCTTCTGGCGTGATGAGGCTAGGTTTCCTCTCATCAGGTTTACCTAGACTAGGTTCCTTGTCATCTGGCTTGACTGGGCTGGGTACTTTCTCATCGAGATGTATTGGGCTGGGAACCTTTTCTTCTGGCGTGATGAGACTTGGTTTTCTCTCATCAGGTTCACCTAGACTAGGATCTTTGTCATCTGGCTTGACTGGGCTAGCTTCTTTCTCATCGAGATGTACTGGGCTGGGTGCCTTTTCTTCTGGCGTGATGAGACTTGGCTTCCTCTCATCAGATTTAACTGGACTAGGCTCTTTGTCATCTGGCTTGGCTGGGCTAGGTACTTTCTCATCGAGATGTACTGGGCTGGGTGCCTTTTCTTCTGTCGTGATGAGACTTGGTTTTCTATCATCAGGCTTAACTGGACTAGGCTCTTTGTCATCTGGCTTGACTGGGCTGGGTACTTTCTCATCGAGATGTACTGGGCTTGGAGCCTTTTCTTCTGGCGTGATGAGACTTGGCTTCCTCTCATCAGATTTAACTGGACTAGGCTCTTTGTCATCTGGCTTGACTGGGCTGGGTACTTTCTCATCACGATGTACTGGGCTGGGTGCCTTTTCTTCTGTCGTGATGAGACTTGGTTTCCTCTCATCAGATTTAACTGGACTAGGCTCTTTGTCATCTGGCTTGACTGGGCTGGGTACTTTCTCATCGAGATGTACTGGGCTGGGAGCTTTATCGTCCGTAGTAATGAGACTTGGTTTTCTGTCATCAGGCTTAACCGGGCTTGGTTCTTTGTCATCTGGCTTGACTGGGCTGGGTACTTTCTCATCGAGATGTACTGGGCTGGGTGCCTTTTCTTCTGTCGTGATGAGACTTGGTTTTCTATCATCAGGCTTAACTGGACTAGGCTCTATTTCATCCACCTTGTCTGGGCTGGGTACTTTCTCATCTGGCTTGACTGGGCTGGGTATTTTCTCATCAAGATGTACTGGGCTGGGAGCCTTTTCTTCTGGCGTGATGAGACTTGGCTTCCCCTCATCAGATTTAACCGGGATTGTTTCTTTGTCATCTGGCTTGACTGGGCTGGGTACTTTCTCATCGAGATGTATTGGGCTGGGTGTCTTTTCTTCTGTCGTGATGAGACTTGGTTTTCTATCATCAGGCTTAACTGGACTAGGCTCTATTTCATCCACCTTGTCTGGGCTGGGTACTTTCTCATCTGGCTTGACTGGGCTGGGTATTTTCTCATCAAGATGTACTGGGCTGGGAGCCTTTTCTTCTGGCGTGATGAGACTTGGCTTCCCCTCATCAGATTTAACCGGGATTGTTTCTTTGTCATCTGGCTTGACTGGGCTGGGTACTTTCTCATCGAGATGTATTGGGCTGGGTGTCTTTTCTTCTGTCGTGATGAGACTTGGTTTTCTATCATCAGGCTTAACTGGACTAGGCTCTTTGTCATCTGGCTTGAGTGGGCTGGGTACTTTCTCATCGAGATGTACTGGGCTGGGAGCCTTATCTTCTGGCGTGATGAGACTTGGCTTCCCCTCATCAGATTTAACCGGGATTGTTTCTTTGTCATCTGGCTTGACTGGGCTGGGTACTTTCTCATCGAGATGTATTGGGCTGGGTGTCTTTTCTTCTGTCGTGATGAGACTTGGTTTTCTATCATCAGGCTTAACTGGACTAGGCTCTTTGTCATCTGGCTTGACTGGGCTGGGTACTTTCTCATCGAGATGTACTGGGCTGGGAGCTTTTTCGTCCGAAGTAATGAGACTTGGTTTTCTGTCATCAGGCTTAACCGGGCTTGGTTCTTTGTCATCTGGCTTGACTGGGCTGGGTACTTTCTCATCGAGATGTATTGGGCTGGGAGCCTTTTCTTCTGGCGTGATGAGACTTGGCTTCCTCTCATCAGATTTAACTGGACTAGGCTCTTTGTCATCTGGCTTGACTGGGCTGGGTACTTTCTCATCGAGATGTACTGGGCTGGGAGCCTTTTCTTCTGGCGTGATGAGACTTGGTTTTCTCTCATCAGGCTTAACTGGACTAGGCTCTTTGTCATCTGGCTTGACTGGGCTGGGTACTTTCTCATCGAGATGTACTGGGCTGGGTGCCTTTTCTTCTGTTGTGATGAGACTTGGTTTTCTATCATCAGGCTTAACTGGACTAGGCTCTTTGTCATCTGGCTTGACTGGGCTGGGTACTTTCTCATCGAGATGTACTGGGCTGGGAGCCTTTTCTTCTGGCATGATGAGACTTGGCTTCCTCTCATCAGATTTAACTGGACTAGGCTCTTTGTCATCTAGCTTGACTGGGCTGGGTACTTTCTCATCGAGATGTACTGGGCTGGGTGCCTTTTCTTCTGGCGTGATGAGACTTGGCTTCCTCTCATCAGATTTAACTGGACTAGGCTCTTTGTCATCTAGCTTGACTGGGCTGGGTACTTTCTCATCGAGATGTACTGGGCTGGGAGCTTTATCGTCCGACGTAATGAGACTTGGTTTTCTGTCATCAGGCTTAACCGGGATTGGTTCTTTTTTATCCACCTTGTCTGGACTGGGTGCTTTCTCATCCACATGTACTGGGCTAGGCGCCTTTTCGTCTGATGTGATGAGACTCGGTTCGACAATTTCTGTTCTTTTATTGGGTACAGCAAGCATAGTTTTAACACTTGTTTCCACATTTGACCCTTCTTCAGGGATTTGTAATTTATCTTCAAATTCAAATGGTATAGGGTCAGGTTTCTTTTCGAAAAGTTTCATTTGTCTTATAACACGGGTAAACTTGGAACCATCTGGGTAATTATCTGCTTCTATAGTCATAATGCAAACCTTGTATTTTTTAATTTTTTTACTGACGTGTTTAAATTCAGTGATTACTGTGGTAATGATATATTCTCTCATTACTGTTACTCCTTTTACAACTATAGATTCATGTTTGTAAATTGTGTGTTCCTCAGGTTTACCCAAAGGCTTGAAATCTTTTAATATCTCGTCAATTTCCGTTTCTTGTGATTCATCCCAGATTAAAGTAGGTGTTGATCCATCCGGTTTTAAAGAAACTGGCGCAGATCCATCTGGCTTTACTGGACTAACTATTTTGTCATCAAGGGTGTCTGTGATAGGTTCTCCTTTATCTTTTTCAACTGTTGTTTTGTCAGACATTTTTTCCGATATTTCTACTTCTGAACTAATGGACTTTTCACTAGTTGTAGGAGATGGTAGTTTCGGTTTTTCATAAGCAAGGGAGACTTTTCGAATGGTTCGACTATATTTGGTACCATCTGGCATCTCGTCTTCTTCGATCGTTAAAACAGTAGTTTTATATCTGAATGTTGTTTTAGATACATTTGTGTATTCTTGAAGGATTGTCGTTACAGTGGATTTTCTTTTGATAAAGATGCCTTTTTCTGTAATTGTTGTTATTTGTGTAGTAGTTACTTCTTCTGGTTTTCCAGCAGGCTCAAAGGCCATAAGTCGTTCTTCAATTTCCAATTCCTCATCTTCGTTATAAATTAAGTCTGGTTTAGAGGTCGTCGAAACTGTTTTATCTTCTAAATCCGAAGATTTTGACAATATTTCTTCTGTATGAACTGGTGAACTAGGCTTGTCGTCGGTTTTTTCTTGAAGTGACTCCTCTTTGTCAAGCTTAATAGGGCTAAGTGGTTTTTCAGTCTTAGTTGCAGCAAGTTTTGGTCGTTCATGAGAAAGGCATACTTTTCTGTATGTTCTTCCAATCTTTTTCCCATCTGGAAGTTCATCATCTTCAATAGTTAGTACAGTGGTTTTATATCTAACAATCGTTCGAGTGACGTTACTATATTCTTGTAAAATTGTTGTTGTTGTAGTTTTCCTGATAATTACGATACCTTTCTCAATGAGTGTTACAACTTGTGTAGTTGTGAATTCCTCTGGTTTACCACTGGGTTCAAATCCAATCAACCTCTCCTCGATGTCTAATTCTTGATCTTCATCATAGATTAAGCTAGGAAGCTTATCGTCTGAGATGTCTGGGCTCGGCTCTTTTTCAATAAGAACTGGTTCCTCATGTGTGAGTTTCTTCAAATCTAGGTCTTTTGTAGCTTCTTTAGTAGTATCAACAATGTGATCCTTCATTTCTTCAAATATTGATACTCCAGGCTTTGCATCAGGTTGTTCGTCAGTCAAAAGACTTTGTGAAGGTTCTACTTTAATGGGGCTTGGTGTTTTGGAAACCGACTCTTTTTTGGTCTCAGTTGCCTTTACTGGAGCTTTTTCAGGACTCTCTTTCTCTGGGCTTGGCTCTTTCTTGTCTGATTTTTTGCCAAAGAATCCGAACACTTCATCTTTGAATGCTGACACTTTTCCGGCAACTTTTTCAACTTTAGTTTCAGCCTTTTGCAATAAGGTTTTTTTCGGAATTTCTTGTTCCGAGACTTCTTTTTCTTCTGTGGGTGATTTATCTTTAATAAGTTTTTCTGATACATCAGGAACCTCAGTCTTTTCTTGTAAAATTATCTCTTCCTTTCTTTTAAGATCAGCAATTTTTTCTTCTAGTTTTTCTAACGTTTTTGCTGATTCTAGTGTTGTAATAACTCGTTTTTCGGGTTTTTCTTCTAAATCTTCGAGTAAAGATTTTTCTTTAACTATGTCTGCAACATGGTCAGTAACATCAGAACTAATTTCTTTGAATATACTTTCTTTAACATCATCTACTTTCTCGATTATCTTCTCGTCTATGAGTTCTCGTTTGACTCGTTTACTCTCACTAAGCACTGTCTTGTCCGAAGTTTCACTAACGTCCTCTGATGTTATGGATCGGGCTGGTGACACTTCTTTTTGTATTTCCGAGATATCATGTGGCTTTGTATCCAGGGCTGTTGTCTCTTTGGGTTCTTCAAGCAAATCGTGTTTGATTGCTTGTTCACTAGTTAAGAGCATTTTTGTAGCTTCGATAGCACTAACAGTAACTGGCGTAACTGGAAAAACTTCCGGAGATTTACTAAGCAAAGGAGATTTCTCGGCCATGATTTCTTCTAAGCTTTTGTCTGATTTAAGTACTTCAGCGACATCAGCAACAATTTTTTCGACTTCTTTAGGACTCAAAGGAGGTTTGTCAGGCATTTCCAACTTACGAGCTTCTTCAATCTCTTTTTCAACATCTTCAGGTATTGAAGGGATCTTTTCAGGCATACATGGAATCTCTTCGATTACAATAATATCATCTTTTATTGGTGAATCGAGAGTTGTAATGTGAGTTTCTCGCAATTTCTCAGTATACTGCCCATAGTCGTATTCTCCATCATCATATTCCTTCACTGGTTTTAGGTCTTTATCGGGAACTGCTGACACTTTCATTTGTTCGTGGTACATTGGGGACTCTGGAGCAGATCCAGGTGTTACGGTGACAAGTTCAGCATGGGACGCACGTTGCACAGTTTTGATAACAACATCGTCTTGAACTGCTTTCATTCCTTTGTATGTTACTCCACCTTCTTGGTCTAGGAGAGGTAGGTCTGTAGGAACTTTGACGTCATCAGATTTTCGTTTTACGAATTCTTCTTCTGGTGTTTTCTTTTCTACATAAGTTCTGTAGTCAACTTCTTCATGCAAAGGTAAGTCGGCTACTTCATCTGGAGTCTTGACGATTTCTCTTATTGGAACTGGAACAGACTCAAGTTTAGGGCTCTTTTCTAGTGATAATGGTTTTGTGTCAATTAAACTTTGTGGTGGAATTACTTCCTTAGTCTCTTCCTGAACGTGTTTTTCTTCAACCTGTTGATCCTCTTTAATATCATCAAGTGTTATCCTTTCATCTTCAGGCAGAGTTGGTGCAGTGGTTGCTCCTGATTCAATAGTAGTAGATATTTTCTCATCCGGCTGAGACTCTTGAACCTGCATTTCAAGAGAATCTTTGGGTTTAGGAATACTTTTACTATCAGAGGTCTTCTTTTCACTGCTTATATCTTGTTTTTCTTCGACGCTTACTGAGTGTTCTTTAGATTCAATTTGTTTCGTGTCCGTTTCGATAACGGCTTCAGTCTTGATTTGTGTTTCTTCAGGTTTTTCTAGTACGGTTATATCTTTCTTTTTCTCAGATTCCTCTTTATCTTTAGCATGTTTTTGTAATTCATCTTCATGCTCGTGACTATCCTCTCGTTCTACAGCAGAGTCTTCGGTATACTGTTCAACTTCTTCTTTTTCTATTATAAGATATTCTTCTTCAAATTCGCCGTCGGCAGTCGTTTCAGTCTTAGTATCGTCTAATAAACATGTAATTTTTTCAATATCCGATCGTCCTACAAATTCAATTTTCTCTTCAGCTTCGCTGTCCCTGTTGAAAACAGCTTCAATTTCTCTTACAATTTCTTGTTCTTCTCTTTCGTCTAATTCTTGTTGTTTAATGTCATCGAGGGATTTGGATGTGTCTTCGTCAGATTTCTTAGCATCTTTTAGAATATCTTCATAATTTACTCTTTGTAAGCCCTTCAACTTTGAGGCATCACCTTTAACTGACTTCACGGATTTGGTTGGGCTTTTCATAGCTTTCAACCCTTTCACCGGTGATGATAAGGGTCTCGGCCGGCGCGAAATAGGTTCCCGTTTAGCTTTAGTTTCTTTCTTTTCAGATGACTTTGTGGTGGCTTCTCTCTTGGGTGATGCTTGTTTGTATTTTGATTCGACAACCATGCGATTTTTCGCTTCCTTAGTGCTCTTAGCTGGGGTGCTTCCTGGACTCAGTCTTCTAGTTTTGGCTTTTATTTTATCTTTTAAAACTGGTACGGATGGAGTAGATTTAGTGTCAGGTAATTTTTTAGGGGTTGTTGGGGGTGACTTTTTATCTTCTGATCCTGCTTTTTTCTCTGTACTTGATGTTGCTTTTCGTTCGGAAACAGCCCGCGTTGCGCGATGACTGATTTTACTTCTTGTAACTGACGACGTCATTTCAGACTTGCGTGTGTCAACTTTTGATTTCTTTTCTACTTTTGTTTTCGCTTCAGCTTCAACTTTTTTAGCATCAGCCTTAACTACAGAGTCTTTAACTTCATCAGTCTTATCAACGCGTTTCGTTTTCTTCTCCACAGCCTTCTTTTTGACATCTTTCTTTTTAGGTAAACCATCTATCACAGTGCTCTCGTATTGAGCAATCTTATCATCTAGTTTAGTTTCTATTCTCGCAGTTATAGCCTCGTGTAAGACGGAGTCCATTTTATCTTCCGCATCTACGAGCTCACTAAGTAGTTTATTATCTATTATATTCTTTGTTTCACCATCTTTAAGATCTTTTGGAGGAGGTTCAGGTTCAACAATTTTGTCGTCTTTCGTTTTTTCTGTAATGATACTTCTTTCTTTACTGGATTTGGTTGTCGTCTTAGCGCTAGTTTTTGTAGTTGTAACCGTAGTTGCTGTAGCGGTGACAGCTGGCACCGTAGGCGCCATCTGCCTGCCTGTGCAAGTGGGATGTTGTAAAAATTCTAAGTGTTTAAGTTTTTCTAAGCCTTCGAATATTTTGTGTTGTGGTGTCGATCCCGGGAACATAATCCTCGTGATCGTGTCGTCGGGGTTGGCTGGGCGCCACACTAGTAACGCACAGATGGAAACTAAGTTAGGTATCGGGAAGTTAAACTGTCCAGACACACTCGCACCATCGAATAGCTTTTGTTCACTGTTGTGCCAACGTTTCAAGAATTCACGAACGTATTTAGAGTCCTTGGACGGATTCAGTACGTACATGTCTAGGGTACCTGGAAACAAGAAAAGTAAGGATTAAACTGTGACAATTATTATGTACTCTGAATAAGAAATGTCGAACTGTTCATTGAACTAATAACGCAAGGTCTTTGTAACGGATGGGGCAATAAAAATATGAACACTAATCTCAGACTTATTTTGTTATCTTGCAGTCTTTTAGGTTTTTTTTTGCATAATAGTGTGACTTACCATGTCCAACTTTATGGTAGAGATTGATGGGCTCTGGACTTCTGTAGCAGTGTTGTGGTTTGAGGTTGATATGGCGCAGGTCGGCCATCATGTCGGAGCCCTCCTGCAGCAGCGACACCAGCAGAGGATCCGTATCCTTATCTCCGTCAGGGCTCGCGAGAGCGCGCCTTTCCTGGAAATAGTTAAATTAGGGTTTAAAAATGATGTCTAATTTTTTTTATAGTGTTAATAGAGATATTGATATTCAAATAACACAATTATGTAATAATAATGTATTGATATAGTAGTTAGTCTCATGTGATATGTAACGTGGACGCAAGTCATTTTTAAGTACACAAGGAGTAAAGTAAAGTTAACAGAGAAAATCGAAATACTGAATAACATCTTGCTCGATACAGAGTGGTGATAGAAGTTGGAAGTGTCCAGTACCTATGAAGTAGGTACCTATTAGATAATTATAAAGAGTTATTATATTTATAAAAGTATGTAGTCAGTCTCAGTCACTTGATACACGCACACAAAAATCTGCTTTAAAAACATGGAACATAATTCACGTAATCACATACCCCTTAAGTATCACATCATTTTACACTTTATCACGAACGAAATAGATAACAAATTCACTTGAAACTTCTTTTATAATATTTGTAGTAAGTGACGCGGCGTGCGCAGCAGACGATCGAGAGATACTGATTGGAAGTTGACACTACACGCATCAATGGGTGCCATAGATGCTGTAATATTGTACTACGATATCCTAGAATTTAATTATATTAAATATATTACTGAAAAACATTGGCACTAAATACACATTATTTATGCCAACATTGAGGTCGCAATTATGACGAACTTTTTCGTCTGATGAAAAGTAATATGAGTAATATATTACTATGTATATGAATATCTACAATACAAATTGGTCGATCCCCAAATACATAAATAATTTTTATTAATGATAAAATGAGTAAAATACAAAAATATATCTTAATCAACGATGTAGACCTAACAAAGTCACATGCCTGTACTAGAAAAGCCTACTGTATTTACTCAATTTATTTGTTGCCGACCTTGTAGTAAAAATCTTTTTTGAAAAGAAACAAAATATGTATAATCGCAGTTTAATGGAAGTTGTATCAAAATGCTGTAACAAATGAGAAGCTTCTAAAAATTCATCATGAGAGTTGTATCTGTAATATTTAAGAGCTACTTCGCAAACTATGACTAAGTTCCTCTTAAGTCTAACTGTATTAGTGTCACCTAAGTTAACAGCAACTGAGTTACCACAGTACTCAGAGTCATTTAATAGCTATTTAACCCAATCCTTAGCATTAGTTTTTGGAACAAAATCGTTACTAAGGAATAGTTCAAGTAATCATCAAATGTCTCTGAGTATCGCAGTTATTCACGGAAGAAGCCGTTATTAGCAACAAGTTACTTCTTGGTATGAAACTGTCAAGTCTAATAGATTGTTAGTGCTCAATCCGGTAAGCAGTGCGTGTACTGAGGTGTGACGCCGTAGTGTCAGGTGGCGGCCTTGTAAGGGCGACTAGGTGGCGCCAGGCACCCTGTCCCCATTGCTCGCATACCTTCGTACATAGTGAGCAGGATAGCGCTACGTAATTCAATTTAACTTAATATTTTATTTCCAAAAAAGACATAGGTAGGTGAGCATTGTTTCCCAGTCTACCTCTGAATAGACAGGAAGATAAATAAAGATAATTCCTAAAAACGTAGATTATGTAGCATTCGTTTTAAACTAGCGCTGTTGTTAGAATTACAAATGAGATGTCCAATCAATCAGTACAGTTGTCTTTCAAGATGTTTCGAGTTTTTCAGTGTATGGAAAGTTTAAAGTCTAGAATTGTGTCCGGTATATTACGGTAAAGGGCTCACTTCTGTTTACTTGGAGTTCATAACACAACTGGTGAAAAGGAACTAATTATAACAAAAATAACGGGTAAACAGCAGTTCAAATTACTTACTTCTAAGTTACAGAAGAAGTGTCCAATCTGTGGGTAGACAGTAGCTCCTGCCTTCCTGCGCAGGACAGATGCCATGCCGGAGACAGAGCAGTTGTTGAGCCTGGTGAACAGGACTGCGTCAAGACGGTCCAAGTGGCGGGCGAAGTCCCACCAGCAAGCCTTGCGGGAGAAGCCTCCATCCACTGGAATGTACAAGTATAAAGGTTTAGTATTGCAGTTTTTAAAGTTGAGTAGTAGTAAATCGAAATTATTTATTAACTGTTATAAGCGAAGGATCTTTTTTGAAAAAGAGATTTTCCGCTTAAACTTCTGTTAAAGACATTAAACGCAATGGTGACCAATGTTAGCGGAGGATTTTTTTATGCCTTCAAAAATAACTGTCAATTCGAACTTTGAAAACGAGCTCGACAGCGATCTCGCCAGTCATTGGCCGAGATTATTCTAACAACCAATGACTGAACGAATCGAGTTCAGTACGATTTTTTGAATTGAAAATCACAGAATAGCCTAGCAGGTTTGGACCTTTGGAGTAATAAAAATTGAGTATGCGTTGCATCGTTAGTGAATTAATAAAAAAGTTAAAAGACCATAATAATATTATTGTTATGTAAATACGCTTGATTATCTTTTTTTATAGCTATCATGTCCTTTTCACATTTTTCTCGATGTTACATTAGACGGTTGGACCAATTGAAAATTAGATATTCAAGTTTACAGTAAGTAGTATTAAAATCAATACCTTTAACAACATCAGATTACATCCTACAGACAAAATAAGTAAGACAAATGAGGTCAGATTTATACTAGCAACCACTTTGTTCGTCCATCAGTACCTAATAGACGATGTGCTTTTATTCCCTTAACAGTATCTAGACAGGGAATCTAGCGTGTCTTAAGAACATTCTAACATATACAACTGCATACGAAGATACTACAATTGTCTTTCAATCTATCGAGGTTAGAGTTTCTGTTCATTTAAAAGCATTTGTCAGTGATAGTCTGCATCGCATTTTAACCCCTCGAGCGTCCTTATGAGCACCCGGTAAGATAAGAAAAAAAGAAAAAATAAGATAAGAAAAAATGCTCCATGCTGCTTTCTCTTTTATAAAATCTATTATTAATGTTTTGTTTTTATTTTGACTGTATTTGTTTTATTTCTATTGTAATGATGCTTGTTTTCGTGTGCCAATGGCCAAATAAATGCATTTTCTTTCTTTCTTTCTCCAAATGTCACGTGTGCACCCGTTGGATCATAAGGAACGCGGACGCTCGACGGGTTAAGTTTCATGTAGGTATTATAAAGTTAAGTTTATATTTTCTTTGATCTATCATTATTAAGTAATGAGGAATTGACGAACTGAAAGTTAAGTTAATATTAGTCCTTACGATCGATGGTATTAGGTACATTATCTTTTAAAACTATTTCAAAGTCAACGCTGATTTATGTCAATTAGAGCTAAATTACTGTTGAAATTTACTAAAATATTAAAGCACAACCCAATTACGAAGTAGTATTAACAGAATTCCCTACAATATTAACCTACAAGCATTTATAATTCACAATACAAATGAATTAGCTATTCTCGTTCAATTACCGTGAACATTAACATTGTATTCACCAATTTACACCTAACAATTACCCGTATAATACAATCACACAATAATACCCTCAAACTCCTTTCATACTCAAATCAACATGCAAATTGCAGTTTGGTTAAGCATACATTACTGGCTCGCAGACCAAACGCTTAAACAAACACGTTAGCTAAAACGCAATATGATGCAAACATTCCTAAATGTTCGTTGAAGCGAAATTCTAATTTCAAATGATGCTTTGGTGGTTTGAGTAAACAAATCAGTTGGGTCATTGTTTCATAATAAATATCGTTTAAGGTTTAAATTCGCCATATATTTACAGCAGAGTAAAACAAATTAGTTACCATCTCTACTAGAGTACGGGTATCTTAGGAGCCGACTACGGGATTACACATTTGACCGAGGTCGGCAGCACCGCTCTCTGAAAAACCCGATGACTTATGCTGTGATCTCCAACCTGCCTGCTAAGCGAGGAGATTACCGCCAACTCCTTCAGGTAATGCAGAGCAGACCAGTCTAACAGTTGCTTATATTCCGCGCGCGCCTCAAAGAGCCATCAGACCATCACAGATGGGGCCCAACAGGGTCGATGCCGATTCGGAGTCGCGGAGAACCTAACGGGTAACCGGGGCTCCGGCTCGACGTGCAGAAGAAGGAACGGGGTGGTTTTTAGTCAGTAAGACTCTGACACTCCCTCCCGCTTCACCCAGGCGGGAGCAGTCATTCGGTGATTTTAACATAACATAACATAACATCACGCCTTTTTATCCCCGAAGGGGTAGGCAGAGGTGCACATTATACCACTGTACAATGTAACACCCACTTTTCACTATTTATGTTATGAGTCCCATGTAATAGGGGGTGAGCCTATTGCCATATACCGGGCACACTTCCAGACTCCGTGCTACTACTGAGAATATTTAAAAAACCCAGTAATACTTTGCCCGACCCGGGAATCGAACCCGAGACCCCTTGTCCGGCAGTCGCACTTACGACCACTCGGCCAAGAAGGCAGTTTCTTTAAAACCATAAATTGCACAATTAAAATCGGTGATTTTCACCCCTTAAAAAAAACAGTTGCTTATCTGTGGCTTTTAAAGACAATGATGATGCGTAATTGTTTCATTATAATAAAAGCACAAATACATTCAGCCAGAAGCCGTTATTCGCCAATGAGATTGCAAGTTTTAAATAAAGAATTAAATGTCGAGATTTTAATTGGGTGTCAGTTTGATGTGCCTGGCAACTGATGGACGTTAATGGAGCCCGAACACTGGCCATTTTATGCTTTTTAATTTCCGTTGTGGCGGTCTGGGGTAGCTGTGATGTTTGCTGTTTTAATTATTGACAAAATTGTACGAATTTGCTAATTTGATTGCTTTATTGTGTATGCATTTTTATACGTCATTATTTTCAAAACCATTCATCAACAGCCTATAAATGCCCACTGCTGAGCAAAGCCTCTTCTCACACAGAGAAGGTTAGAGCATTAATCACCACGCTTGCTCAATGCGGGTTGGTGATTTCAAACTTATAATTAGAAATTATAAGTTCAGGTTTCCTCACGATGTTTTTCCTTCACCGTTTGTCGGTGGTGTCTAAATAATCTTAGAAAGTACATATAACTCGGAAAAAGTCACATTGGTACTTGCCTTTGGTAGGTTTAGAACCCGCACCCTCATGCATGAGAAGTGGGCGTCTTAAACCTCCGGGCCACCACGACCATATTAGTTATAATTTAGCAAGAAAATTATGCGCAATAATTGGCTAGTTTCCTAGGTTTAAAATAAATTATTTCAACCTTACAAAGCAATACATATTTAAAAAATAATCATACTCTCATCCATTGATTTGACAATTTACTTACTTATGGATTTTTACTCGCTAATTTTAAGTAAATAAGTATGCTATTTGACACAGAAATATGATGACGTCATAAGTAGCGATCCAATACAAAATTCATAGAAAACTATCGTTTTTGACATTTCAATAAAAATATTGAATTTGACTATCTGTCAACTACCGTATTATCTAAAAAAAATGGGGTAACTATCCGAAAATATCTATACTGTATATACTGTAGATATCACACACAAGCGACAACTTAAAGAACAAATCAACCAACACGAATGAAATAAAGTTGTTCCAATGTAATATCAACTCAACGTTTACCTACAATCCAGGCGAACATTCTACCCAACTAATTTAATACCTATAAGGTAGTCCAGCTAAAAAAATATTGACAGAGACCAGCTCAAACACGATAAAATCATTCTATCGACTCTTGATTGAAAAATAAATTGGAGTGGGTATGGCGATGTGCATTCTTGTTTGAACAGAGAATGACGCTTACACCCGACGATCCGCCATCTTGTTTACACATGGCGGGGAAAAATGAAATTGACAGTTCATTTTGAGATTAATAATATTAAAAAAAATAAGTATTTTGTGAGCTTAAGTTATTGTATAGCAAATATGTTTGGTTTAAAATAAATAATGAAGCATTTTTGAGTTGATCGAGTGTTTATTAATAAACATTTTTTTAGTAATAATTATTATTACTCTTCTTTGTTTGCTTATACCAAAATATTAAGTAAACAACTAAAAGATTATTAAATTACGTGCCTACATTAAAATTCTGGAGATGTTACAAGTAATACCATTATCTAGAACATTAATTGCCTCTCTTTTATAAAGTACTCAGTATCTTAGATTATATTTATAATTAAGAAAATATTTTCTTATGTCTCTTGCTTAATAGGACCAAACATTTAAGAAAAATTAAAAGATTAAGAAGCCTAAACATGTCCTACATATCATATGAACTTGATATACCAAAAAAATCATAATTGGTTTATTCAGCAAGGACATTTTCGCATGTTCTAACACTAACAATAATTTTAAGTGTTTTATATCACAAATAAAATTAGTCAGTATCATTTATTCAAATAAAAACTTAAATAAAATTAAAACGAACTATTTCTAAATTAGACAACTATTTCTAAATAAACTATTACTAAAAAAAAAGATTAAAACTATATATTACTAAATTAAATACCTATATACAACTTAAGATTAAAATTAATTATGTATAAGATAAAATAAAATAAAATTATATTCCAACCTAACTTTTAACACCAAAAGAAATTGCTAACCTAAATAATAAAGCAGTTAAACTACATCAGAACAATATAACGTAGATAGTCACCAGCGTGACATACCCATCCGTGTGAGTGTTTGCATGTGTGAGTTTACTTAGTAACACAACGTGACACGTCAACCGTGGCGTGACACAAAAGGCTTAATGGGAAGCGTTGTTTGTCACAGTCGGTTCTGTTATTCAGGAAATTATCTAGAAAACTACATTTGACACTAGTCTGGATAATGTCAAAGGGGGATTAATCCAGGTATTGGCTTTTAGGCACTAGCTTGACACATAGGTTAATTGAATCCGTTCGATGAAGATTCGATTCCCAATTGCAAATGATTTGCTTTGACAGGCTTTCTGTTTTAGTCTCTATAAGAGCTTCCCGTATATACCCAAGCGGTCACCGGTGACCGCTCTCCACTATATTGTAGATCTTATTTCCAATGTTTAGAGATTACTTTTGTATGAACAAATTTAGGGGATGATTTTGAACAATTTTCAAGGGGTATAGTTTAAAATAATAGTGAAACTGAAATACCGCTGATTTATTTGATTTCGAGATGTGAGATTATGCCACTGCTTCTCAAAACAGACAATGAAAATTACAATTGGCTACTTGATCACATCATGGACTCATGTGGACCATGAATCATGTGAGGCACCAGCCTATTGCCATCCCACTGGTACAGTTACAATTTATTCCTGAGAGTCCTAAATACCGAAAGCCTCTTTAAATAAACCAAGCGAAGCAATCGTAATGGAACACCAAAAAATGGTTACCTACGACCCGTTTCCATTTCCATTTCCGCGTGAGAAGACAAAACTTCAATATTTCAATGTTATATACATATGTATGTGCAGGTAAACGTCGAGCGTGTTCGGGTCACGTTCCGTGGCTGTTTGTTCAACATGACGTTGTCTCGCTGGTTAGACGTGACATTGTGTGTGAGGGATTTAATAGAATACACAGCTCTAACTGCGTAGTATAATTTCTAAAACATTTTACACTCGAAAGCTCTAGTGTAATGATATTAAGTGAAGTTAATGAGAACACGTAAAATATTGTTAGGGCTTGCTTTTCTGAGTATATAATACCTTTATGAATGCCCATATTAATAAAAAAAAAGCTGTAAAAATATACGTATGCATATATGTCTACCGAACACTAATGGAAGAATACGAAAACTCATTTTAAAAATAGACCTACACAATTACATTAAAGAATTCCATTTGTGCTGACGTGAAACAATGACGTCATCAAGATAGCCAGCAGCGTGACATGGCCGGCGTCCGGCCGAGCGTGTTTACTTAGTAACACGATAGCACGCTCTTCGCTTGACGTGTGCGGTGGCTTAATGGAAACCGCTGTTTGTAGGGCAGTGAGCACTTTATTTACTTTCGTCCAACTAGGTGGCACCTGGAAAATCTAGGTTCCCTGACATACGTCTCTAGTAAAACACCAGAGTGTATGTGAAGGCGTGTTTTGTTCACGTTCTGTTTTGATGTTTTATGAGATTTCAATTTCCAATAACGACAAAATAAAATTACTCCAGAATTGATTTATCACACAAAATAACACAATAATAAAAAAAATCCACAAAGACGACTAATACCAATAACTTGTTAGAAAACAAATTACGGATACAGATTTGACCTCAATTTGTTCTCAAATTCGAGAATCTAGACGCGGCACTCATAACTGCCAAGAACAACAATCACAAACAAAAACAATTATCTAAACACTCGAGACAATTCGATCCAAATCTTGTTCAGTGAACAATAATATAACATTGTGGGTTTGACAAGACTTCAGCCGACGCTCGAAGGCGTCCCGGAGACAGCCAATATTTCTTTGGCACAACACCAAGTTTTAAGTGGCTGTGCTCAGGCTTTTGTGGTTGTGTCAAGGTTCGACTTTTATAAGTCAATTGGCTGTGGAATTTTATACGAATTTTCTAAGAAATTGGAGCGTTTTGTACTTGGATAAAACTTTAGACCAAAGACGAAAAGGTACAGCCAACTTAGCCGATGGAATAGAATTTACTTTTGCTCCAATTAATTTTGGTATTGACTTTTACAAAATTCACGAACATCACAAAAGACATACATTAAACCCTAAAGTAACTCGAGGAACATAGTACTAACACTAAAACCCAAAAGCTCCTTTCAACAAATTCCACTTCAATTCCAAGTAAGACCATAAGCAGGCGAAACAACAAAAGACTCGTAAAACTAAATTGTAAAATGTTGAACAAAGTACATGGCGTAATCGTGCCAATGTAGACTAGAGATGAGTTTTGGCCGCACGCCAATGAAAAGCGAACAGCAGAAAAACTCATTGAGCCTGGAGCATGGACTATGTGGAAGAAAGCATTATATTTTAAGAACTTTAGTTAGATGTAAGTCATTGGGGAGTAGGTAACTTATTTTTATTTCAGCGCCATTTTTCTCTAGTACAGGTTGAGTCCCCAAGGCAACATTAAACCTCTTGGTACTCGCAACGGAATTTATCAATTAGATTAACGAGACGCTTTGTTGCTAGAAATTTTCTTACGTTGCTATTTATACAGGTACTGCTGCTACGTAACTATGTTAAGAAGTTACTTTGTCCAAATACAATTAAGAGTAATTTACATTGTTTTAAACTGTTGTAAAGGTATGCCCTTTATAGGTCTGGGACTAATTTTACTAATCTAATTATGCTTTTATATTGTTTAAACTGGTTTGCGATACGGAGACTACATATAATTACAACAATGACACGATAAATTAGACGCTATGTTATGACTATTTCATAGTTTCAAAATCGTAATGGTTTAAGTTGCAAGGATGTATACTAGACCTAATTAAAATATAGCTTCAATCACGCATCGATTGGAAACTTCTTAACATGTTACCAAGCCCTTTCATCTCTATACTTTTCTCCGACTCACAATTCATGAGTAAATATCATAAAATATCTACTAAAATATAAAAAAATAATAACTTACCAAGCATATTAAATCCATTAATGCCGAACAGCGCGGCGTCTCCTTGTCCTCCTGGGAACACGTAGAGCGTGGGGTGGCTGAACCTGATGTTGCCCACCACGTCGCTCGACACCAGGAGCTGGTCCAGGCTGGCTGGTACCACGTATGGGTCCAGGTATGCTGTGGGCAAGAGAAAGATGAGTTAAGAACTGTATTTTTAGGCTAAATAGTTTTTTATTCTTGAATAAACAGGCGGTGGTGTACGTACTAAATGGAACAATCACTTTTGCGCTTAATGTAATGAGTTTTATGTAATACGAGCCGAGTCAATTGACAAATATCTGTCTATATAATACCTCTTGCTTCGTAGTCACACTTGTAAGAATTCAACCAATAGAGCAGTTTTAATATCGACATAATGTACCTATACCTCAATAAATTTACCTTAAATGGGTATTGGGTATATTGCATCTGTTACTATTTCTGTTTCACGATACGTTTGGGGAAAATAAACGTGTTTGTATGGCGCTGTACATAATAAACAATAATATATTGTATGTGGATAGAAATGTAGTAAGTAACTAAGTATTTTGTTTTTAACTTATATGGTAATAATTCTTTCATAAACTACGGTTAAACAAACTGATTACAACCACCTCTTTTTTTGAAGTCGGTTAATTATTATACTAAAATCTTCTCCTAAGTGTAACAAACCCTTTTCTGGAAACCGCATCAAAATCGGTTCAGCAAATCGCTAGATAATGGCACAAACATACATACATACGTCAAACGTAAAAACTTCTTTGAAACCGATTAAAAAGTGTAGTAAACCTTTATTAGTAGGTAATAAATTACAAAATAATCCAGTATAAGAATAAGATAACATCGTAACATCACGTCTTTTATCCCCGAAGGTGAAGGTGAAGGCAGAGGTGCACACAGAAGTAGCACCCACTTTTTACTATTTATATTATGAGTCCCATGTAATGTAATAGGGGGTTAGCCTATTGCCATATACCGGGCACATTTCCAGACTCCGTGCTACTACTGAGATTTTTTTTAAAACACAGTAATACTTTGCCCTACCCAGGAATCGAACCCGAGACCCCTTGCCCGGCAGTCGCACTTGCAACCATTTAGCCATCGAGGCAGTCCTATACATACATACATGTATATATATATACATAAACTAGTTTCATTATAAAAGTTACCTACCATTAATTAAATTCCGAAACGAACTAACTTTTATTTAAATATCCTAGAAAAGAAACGTTCAGTAGTTTAACTGCAAACTCGGAAACTTAATTAAACGAATGGACACTTGAACTCGAGCCATATTAAACTGAATAGTCGGTTCTAAGTTGTAGTATATGAGATACATACATATAGACAGGTAATCTATCTATATAAATAAAAATGAATTGCCGTTCGTTAGTCTCGCAAAAAACTTGAGAACGGCTAGACCGATTTGGCTAATTTTGGTTTTGAAATGTTCGTGGAAGTGCAGGGAAGGTTTAAAAGGTGAGAAAAAATCTTTTTAGGCGGTACGAAGTTTGCCGGGTCAGCTAGTTATATTATATAATGTAATTACCTCACTAGATAAAGAAGGGATATATTTGTATTGTAACTTTCGTGATACATACTAAATAAATTATTATGTTTTTGGCTTACTCACGTAATAATTTGACGAGGAACTCGACTAGTTTCAAGCCATACTAGAGGCTCATATAAAGGATTAATGAAAAAATCTTCGGGGATTTATGATTCGGTTCTAAAGAGATTCGTTAGGAATGGTGATTGAGTATATTTTAGTTTGTTATAAGTTCTGTATTTAAGCACGATGGGATTGACATCGTCACAAAATGTGTACAAAAATCCCTTACTTACTTAAATGAGATTAAAAAAAAGTTGTGTATTTTTATTTGATGTGAGTTTGGGACGTTTTAGTTATAGTTAATGGTTATTAACGGTAATGTCGTGGTGGCCTGGAGGTTTAAGACCCCGTTTCACATGCATGAGAGTACGGGTTCGAAACCTATAAACGGCAAGGACCAATGTGACTTTTTCCGAGTTATATGTACTATCTAAAATTACCTAGACACCACTGACAAACGGTGAAGGAAAACATCGTGAGGAAACCTAGGCTTATAATTTATAATTATCAGTTTGTAAACGCCAACCCGCATTGAGCAAGCATGTTGATTAATTCTCAAACCTTCTCCGTGTGAGAAGAGGCTTTACTCAGTAGTGGGTACTTATAGTCTGTTGATGATGATGAATTGAGGGACAATATGAAGAACTATTAACTATGTGTGCTGTTTAATATCACACTATTATAGTGTGATATTAAACAGCCTTCTTTAGAATGTGGTGTGTATTCTTATTTAAATTCACTTGACTCCAGAATAGTTCGTGTGTTCAATAAAAGTTTAAAATGATATAGGTAACTTTGTGATTATATTGTTATAATAAATACACAATCCACAACTAATCTAATATTACAAAATGTTACTGGTTAACAGCAAAGTTGGGAGACGACTGGCGTGCTAACGCTTTAGGGTCGCAGGCGCAGTTACGCCCTCGAGAACACATAAAAAGTGTCAAAACATTGGTGTCGCCACACTTCTATTTTAATTAAATAAAGATTTACGATGTAAAATAACTTTCACAATAAACGTCCTCATTCTAATGCAGATGCAATAATATTCTTAAACTACACGTAACATTCGTTGTATGTATTAGTTAGTTCATAACTAACTGCATAAATATGTAAATGAGAACTACATCATAAACTAAACCCATTTAAAAATCTTTCCATTGTACTCGTCTCTAAAACCCACATATATTAAAATATATTTTACACTATAACCCGCGACCAACAACAATAATTTCCATGCGAAATTATTTTATAAAAATATGGGTCATTTATCGTGACTAACAAAGAGATATAACCCGTTAACGCGCCCGGGGTTATAATAGACCCTATTAACATTTACATTCACGAGGATTGAGCTAAATCCCTGTATTCACTGGGTATAATACTAGGTACAATAATGCAGCGCAGTGAATGGGTCGCTCCGGTAGAAATGCTATTTAGATCTATGGAAATATTCCGCTGGAGTTCACAGGGTTAGCTTGCAGAATTATCAATAGGTCTTTGAATGGAAAGGATTATAATATTATATGCAACGTTCTAGAGAAATGGGTATTTTTTGGTTATCGTAGGTACTTTTTACTATGAATATTTTAAAAGTTTGGAAAAATTGTAGATTTTTATTATTGCTGAAACAAACTACAATTATATGCACAGAATTTTGTCTCTAAACTCTCTTAAAACCTTTATACTTAATATTTTATACTAATACACGACGTCCTATACTGCCTGTGATTTTCACATTAATATTTTGATAATAACCCAGTTACCCCTTAATTATGCATCACTCCTATTTTAAACATAACATAAAACATCATTTTAATCTGTCCTAGTTTATGCAAAACATCCTAACACACACAACTTCATTACCCAAGGAGACCTAACAAGGTGACCTAAATGGTAACCTAACAGCCTGCATCCGCCACTCCAACCTAATCAATGACCTACCTACCTGCCCTAATAACTCCCACACATCACCAACGCATTTAAAACTTTAAGTCTCGTGAGATAGAGTTTAAACTTGGTCAGACGGCTAGTTGATACGCTCGGATGCGCAGCGCTTAATTCAAGGATGTTGCTAATTATTTGCCATGTAGTGCTTTGGTAGGGTAGAGGTTTTCTTTAGCTTTTGATAAATTAAATAACGTGGACATGGTCTAAACGATACCAACCTATCTCGTTAGGGTTGGCTGAATACTTATCCCTATAAAAAGAAAATAGGTTTTAAAAAGTCACCGCCCATAGAAAAACCTTTCATAACAGAAACAACGAAAATTGAATCCTAACTATAATACATGTCGGTAGGTTTTACTATAAAAGCCTGTTGTCCGATGCGTCAGTACATTTTAATTTCGTCCGATCAAAGGTTCGGCTAGAACAGGTTGCGAAAACAATATGGCGCTGGCTATTGTAAGGCTACGGTATGCGTTTATTGAAAATTCCGGGAACTATGTGCCAATATACAGAAATAATGATTTTATATATTTCGTTATCGGAGGCCGGTGTGGGTCGGCGATATAATAATTTTTGATCGGTTCGTTAAATAGCCTCCGCCTGCGCAATATGGTGGATAATAATTTTGGGTGTTATGTAGGTAACGTATTAATGTTTTGTATTGATTAAAGCAGTGAATTGGATGTGGGTTTAGTTATACAGATTAATATTGAATTCGTCAACAGCCTATAAATGCCCACTGCTAAGCAAAGCCTCTTCTCACACGGAGAAGGCTTTTTGAGCATTAATCACCACGCTTGCTCAATGCTGGTTGGCGATTACAAACTTATAATTAGAAATTATAAGCCCAGATTTCCTCACGATGTTTTCCTTCACTATTTGTCAGTGGTGTCTAGATAATCTTAGAAAGTACATATAACTCGGAAAAAGTTACATTGGTACTTGCCGTTGGTAGGTTTCGAACCCGCAACCTCATGCATGAGAAGCGGGCTTCTTAAGCCTCCGGGCCACCACGACATACGGGCCAATATATGTCACTAAAATTATATGGTGCTGAAAATGATTTTAGTAATGTATCGCTGACGATTTCAAGTACTTGGAAGACAATCACAAGCACTAGACCAACAAAATTTCTACAGTAAATTACAGTAGATTAAACAACTTCCTTCTTAGTCGTCTTCTTCATTACTGAAGGTCGTGTCTAGTCTGGTGCATGCGTCACTTGATGCACAACCCTCCTCCAAACGCCCCTGTCCTCTGCGGTCTTTATGGCTTGTGGAACTGTCAGGCCGGTTAGGTTTTTTACAGTATCCAACCACCGGGTAGGTGAGCGACCGCGAGGTCTTTTCCCGTTAACCCGACCAACAACCACAAGCTTCTCCAGATTGTTGGGGTCTCTACGCGCAATGCGCTCTCCAGATTAAACAACACTTTATCTTTAATTACAAACAATGAACGCGACTAGTCATAAAACCGAGAGTACTAAGTAAAACATTCTAAAGCATTCATTACGAAATAACTTGTGACAGCTTTTGGGAATATATTCCCGAGAGCTGTCGGTCTCAGTATTACAATACTGACTTAAGTGCCACTACATATAGGACAATGGGTTCCTAAGCTATATTCTGAGAGAGTCTTTAAGAAAGTCTAGATTCTAGACTGTAGGAAATAGTCTCAAAGAGTCTTGAAGTGGGTAAAGAGATGTAGAAAAGAGATTGTTAAGAAAAGAAGGCAGTTTCATGCCGACGTCTTAGAGAAATGCTTGAAATTTTATTTCAATGTCGGCTGAGTTGCTTGTATGTGGATTGCTAACGATTTATATTCTTCTAGCCTTTTAGAGTAACTACTTCTGTGTTCAAAGGAGGCTTATTAGACAGCTAACCGTGCAGTCAATTACACATATAAATTCAATGTACATGTTTCTTGACAAAATAGTTACTGTGTTACCATAAGCAGAACTTTACACGGATAACTGATAAGTGTTGGTTGAGAAGCAATTTAAACTTGGTTACAAGTTGTTAGTACTACCGTCTTACACGTGAACTTACATAATGTGTATATTATGATGTATGTATGCTTCCATGATGGAAGCGTGCAAAACTTTTAAAGTTACGTAACATTTTCAATTTTGTGTAATCATTAATAAGGTTCTTTATTAGTTTGAACATAAAGCTATATTTAATTCCATATCATGAAATGCTGGGTTAATTGAACTGTACAAAGTATGTTATTCAGCACAATTAGTTATATTCGGACCCATACAAAAAATTTTGCAAATACAATACATGCAGAATTACAAAAGATATATTCTTTTTTTATTTAAATACTTCTAAATCTTAAAGGGTATAAAGGCTCAAAATAAACCACTTACTGGTAAAGTAATCACAAGAAATTTCAATACCTAAAGTACCTATAATTAAAGAAACTTTGAATAAAAAATGCCCAATAAAAAATAATATTGCAAGAACCGGGAAAATACTGAAAGTCAATCAGTACACTGTAAAAGAAGCCATGTTTACTGAGGCGTGTTTTATATTTTTATTTACACGCTGAAGGTCCAAGGAGGCTTTGAAAATGAGATCAAAAAGAATATTTGAGATAAGATTTTCTTCGTAAATTCGATTTCTATTACGTAAACTTATTCGCTTTGATTTCTGTGTCAGCTTAAGGATGGATGAAGGGAAGTGTTTACGATTGTTACTATTGTGCACGGTAATTTGAGATCTATTTGGAAGTATTGATGGGTGCTTATTGATTATTAGCTTATTTGTAGATGAGGGCGCTTTGGTGATGATTCTTTTTTATTGGGCTTGGGGATTATTTATGTATTGTGGTTGGTTGTTGTTATTTCGAGTAAATTGAGCAAGATATTGAAGTAGATTAGAATGTTGTAGAAACTTTTTTGTCTTGTTTAGTTACATTTCATTAAAAGTCTGTACTGTGGTAAATAAGTAGTTGAGAATGGCCTGCAAAATGTCGGCGTTTTGCGATCACACAAATATTATAAATGTGAAAGTTTCTTTGTAAGATGTTTGTCTGTCATTCACGCTGAAACTACTAAATGGATTTTGATAACATTTGATATACAGGCAGGATGACTGAGGCTGACTAACTTAGGTGGTAGAATAGAACTTATTATCCCGATTAAATGACTGATTGCACGGTTGTTGCGGTGGCTGGGCCGGCTACCGTGCAACGTGTCGCGGGTTTGATTCCCGCACGGAATAACACTTTGTGTGATCCCCAAATTGTTGTTTCTGGGTCTGGGCGTCATTGTGTATGTAAACTTGTATGTTTGTAAATGCACCTACGACACTGGAGAAAATCTTATTGTGGGGCAACTTTAAAAAATAAATTAAATGCTAGCATGGAATCAAATAATAAAGCCGCGGGTAAAAGCTAGTGGAAAATAAAACTACTGGTTAGTTATTCTATCCTTATATTAATCATTTCTACCTATAAGCGACTAAATATCACCCTGAAATTGGTATTCAAAACCAACCCTTGAATAACAAAAACTACATTAAAACCATCTCATAAACCCCGCTCCACTACATAGGTACACCTTTCGTACTTGAACAAAATACAAACTCTGCCAGGGCCACAAACAGTTTCCAACATCAAATTAGCTCGGAACAGTATTTGTTTAGCTTCCTACAACCGACCTACTTGGCTCACGACACCAGCAACTGAACCTACTCTTATATTTATATAGATTATTCAACTTTATTACAAAAAAAGCGTGGGAGAGCCATGCCTCGGCACGAATGAGCCGGCTCGACCGGAGTGATACCACGGCCTCACAGAAAACCGACGTGAAGCAACGCTTGCGTTGTGTTTCGTGTGAGTGAGGTTACCGGAGGCCCAATTACCCTCTTCTTCCCCAATCTCCCCGATTCCTGAATCCCCAACGATCCTCAAACTCCTAATCTCCAAAAGGCCGGTAACGCACTTGTAACGCCTCTGGTGTTCCAGGTGTCCATCTGCTCGTTTACCGGCTTATGTCATAAAAAAATCGTAGAGTTGAAAATGTTATATTATATATGACAAAGAGGTATATGTTGACTTGCATGCGTCTGTACAGACAAAGGTTTTTATTACCTTTTTTGTTAGATACTGAAAAGTGAATAAGAATTACATTGTAAAAAGGACTGAGTGTGTTTGTCTGAATGTTTGTGTTGTACAAACAGCTTTTTGTGGATTGCTCGGAATGGGATTTGGCTTTTTAGATTTAAAACAAAGGAGAGTTTTATTTAATGTATTTTTGGTCGTTGCTTTTAGAAACTTTTTGAATGCGTATCCTTTATGTGAGTGAAGTGGATATAATTCATGATTTTTATTTTTATTACTTCCTACTTTTGTGACTCCGATCGTTCCTGCCTAGTACCTTTTTTTAAGGGGGGAAAATCATCGAATGACTGCTCCCGCCTGGGTGAGGCGGGAGGGAGTGTCAGACTCTTACTGACTAAAAACCACCCCGTTCCTTCTCCTGCACGTCGAGCCGGAGCCCCGGTTACCCGTTAGGTTCTTCGCGACTGCCTAGTACCTTAATGAATGAAGTTATTGGTCGATATAGTGACAAAATATCAATTCTCACTTTAATTACGAACACAAAGAATAGAAATCACTTCGTCACATGACTCTCATACTATGAAAACGACATTCACCTTTCAGCAAAGTTTTTAAATATCTTCTGAGATTATATATAATTTTAAGTACCTACCAATCAATTTAAGTACCACAATTACAGAGAAAAAACTCGAGGCTAAAACCTAAAGTAATAAATGAGTCATAAAACTCAATAAAGCTAAAGAAATAATCTAGACCTAAACCAGAGCCTACAATTTAGACCTGGTCATGTTTAAATATTAACGTTTTAATAGTTCTGAAACACGCCAGCCTTGGTTTTGTAGGTTAAGGTAATAAATTAAGGTCTGTTGTTTTTCTTTATGGAATAGTATGGATTTGAATGTTTTAAAGTATAATTGAATTTGTCCATCGTTAAAACATCATGATGTTATTCATATACACATTAAAATTCATCCAGTATTTATCATTTTATGTCTTTAAATAACTAAAGTCCAATTTAATGCTTCCATTATGCATTTTAATCTTAATTAAAATCGCAATAAAAAAGCGTAACAAAAATAAAAAAGTTATCATTTTTTCAACGTGGCATTTAAATAATTATAAATTGAACATGCTACGTTAAATTAATTTACTTTTCATTAAGAATAAAAATGTATGTTATAATTAATAATTTTAACGCGAAAGTAACATTTACCAATTAACCAAACACAATATTATTAATCATCTTCGTTGTTCACGCAATGAAATTAATATTCAAGCTACGTCGTAGCATATACGTAGCGGACGCGTAGCAGCTCGTAGCGCTTGTCTACGGCGCTACGCCTATTTGCTTACCGTCTACAAACGCTGTCATTGCCAACATTGTGAACATTGTACTGTAGGGTGACAATAATTTTAAAGAAATAGAGATAAGTTTTGTCCTTGTCATAACAAAATATTACGCACAGGCTAAATTGATTACTTTTTTTAGTAGATTTACTTTAGCAGAGATTAATAATTTTCATCAAACAAAATTTTAACCCCAAAATAAAAGCCTAAGTAATCCAAACAGGGGTCCACAAACAAGGCCCAAATAAACAAAAAGAAATATCTATCCGTCTGAAACACGATACCTCAACATTTACCATCGTGAATCCTTAGTTAAATATTAACAAGGATTTACCGAGCGGCGCAAAGCGGTGTCGGCGGACTTAACACTCCAACACCTACTGTTAACACTTCAAACCTGCTTACGAAACTTAATTTGGTGTAGGAGTGGGTAATTGAGCCGATATTAAAGGTGTTTACAGCAAAATGTTCTTTGTTTTTAGGCTGAGATTTAATACTGAAAGTAATGGTTCTGTAAACACTCGTTTTACGACATAAAGGTTGAAGTTCAGGTTATGATGCTGAATTTTAATTCAGTCGGTGGTAAGTGGGTTTTATTTTTGGACCTAACTGGAAATATTTTAGACCTTTATAATATTGGACAGTTTATCATTGATCAAAATAAAAATAAATTCTTTCGACTATTCAATACAATAAAAAATTAAAAATGAATCACACTTTCATTAATTTATTTTATGACCAACTTCTTTTTAGCATTTTTCGAGCAATTTTCTAAGAAATAAGTATGCTGATTGACGCTAAAAAAATGTGACGTCACAATACACAATCTCGTACAAAATTCATAGAAAACTGTCGTTTTTGAGAGTTCGAAAAAAGTATTGAATTTGATTTGTTGGCAAGTACCCAATTACTGAGATAAAACGCTACAAACATTTACTCAGATATAAAATTTTGTTTCCACTATGGATTTCGGATACTTATAACTATCTGATATATTTTATTTTCAACAGCTGTTTAAGTCATATTTAACTTTTCATTTTAATCCAAACTAAGGTTTACCTATCTATCCTAGTTTCTCAACATCAAGATGTATCAGGACAGTCCGTCTCTCTGACCTTAATTACAGTTACCTTACAACTGTACACGTGCCAGTAACCCAGGTTCGAACACAAGTGCGATCGTTAGTGCACTGTGAATGGCGTGTAGTCTCAAACATTGCAAGCTTCAGTGTGAATGGCGAACAGTTGCAAAACATTTGTGCAAGTTGCTGCAACTTGCCACAGCTTGTTCTACTAACTTTGGTATTGAAGCCAAATATTCGTGGTCTTAGGTTAGTTCCTTTGGTAGCAACTACGTTTGGTTTATTGACGTTTCATATGGAAATGTCGAGTGATTTCTGTGTGGCTTTTGAACAAGATTTCATGTGTCGATACTGTTTTTTAATTTTTAAAAACAGTGCCCCACATTACGATTTTCTCCTGTGTCGTGGGTGCGTTTAAAAACATACAAGTTCACATACACATGACACCCAAACTCGGAACAACAATCTGTGGATCACACAAAGATGTTCCCTGCGGTAATCGAACCCGCGACACGTTGCGCGAAAGCCAGTTGCCCAGCCACCGCGCCAACCGTGCAGATATTGCTGTATATTTTAAGTGTGGTGTATTGAATTTTGTATTTATTAATACCATAAGAGTACTAATATAGATCATTTCTTACGTGATATCGTGCTTAAACTGTCAAACACCACGAGGACATCGGTGACCGCAACCTATTGTTCTATAATTGTGTCAATAATGACGGTACTCAAAGAGGTAAACTGTCAAACACCGCGAGGACACCGGTGACCGCAACCTATTGTTCTTTAATTGTGTCTATAATGACGCTACTGAAAGGGTTAAAATGAAATCAATTGGACCAACAAACTTGATATTTGATTTTATAAGGCTACCTAACCTACTCGAACATTATAATTATTACGAAGAACTATAACTTAAGTTCTGACACATCCATTAACCAAATGCTGCTACCTTATAACATTTACCTTTAATTACTAAGAAACAATTTACATGGAACTAAGATAATATTTAAATTAGACAAGGCTAACAACATAGAACACTTTGATTGGACAAACACTAGACGTAACCACATCGATAAATTCTAGAACGTAATGTAATCACAGACTCAATCACGATCTAACAAGACTATCTAGGCGGTAATCCAGGCAATAATCCAGGGTGATATTGATTACTAAGATGTAATAGATTACTTTTATTGAAAGGCAGATTGATGGTAAATAAGGATTAGATAATAGGGTTTGTTGAATACAGAGTTAGATCTGTATTTCTATTTTCGTGTTGACTTTTGTTGTGTTGTGAGCATTCTGGCATATTTTTGATGTTCAAAATAATCATCAGTAAATCTTCACAAGTCATATTATTGCCTCGTTGGCCGAGTGGTCGCAATTGCGACTGCCGAGCAAGGGGTCTCGGGTTCGATTCCCGGGTCGGGCAAAGCATTACTGGGTTTTTAAAAAATTCTGAGTAGTAGCACGGAGTCTGGAACTGTGCCCGGTATATGGCAATAGGCTCACCCCCTATTACATGGGACTCATAACATAGTGAAAAGTGGGTGTTACATTGTACAATGGCATAATGTGCACGTCTGCCTACCCCTTCGGGGATAAAAGGCGTATGTCAAATTCAATATCAATAGAAATCTGTCTTAAAGACATTGTGCTAGCTTTCGATTCTAACTAAATTTAACTTGACATTCGATTAGTTGTTAGAATACCTACTTGAAATTTACTTCAAGCTTCTGTGTACTTTGATGAAATTGCATGAAAGGAATTTTCATTTCTATCGAACCTACGATTATCACTTTGCCATACGTATCTAATAACCTATAAACTACATGACATACTGTTAGTACCGCAAACTATCAGTTGGACTAGTAAAAATCAATGTGTCTAGACTCAGAACTTTTGAGATAGATTTGAAACTATGTAATAAATAGGAGTCCAGTAGCGGGCGAAACCGTGGGTATAGGTAGTGCATGATTTATTGATAGTACTTACCAATAAAATCCTTGATGGCTTGAGAGCCAGAGTCGAGTATATCAGTAGGGTTGACCCTAATCTTGCAGTATTTCACGAAGGGCATCTCCGGGAGCTTGGCCCATTCTCCTCCACCGCTGGTGGAGCAGTGAACATCAATAGAAATCGAATTCTCATAGGCGCGAATGACGCGCTGTACCTCATTCTCTTGGTAAGCATCAGTGAAGTCAGCTAGGGAAAAGGTCCCGTCCTGAAACAAGGATAGAGATACTGATTAGATAAAGACAAAACATAGAAGTAAATTATTATGACTACAGGTTTCCTCTACTAAAGAACTTTCCATATAATCCACGCTTGGCAAACGTGATCGCAGCTTAAAAGTATTAAGTTTATGAACGCCTCGTTGGCCGAGTGGTTGCAAGTGCGACTGCCGGACAAGCGGTCTCGTGTCCGATTCCCAGGTCGGCAAAGTATAAATGGGTTTTAAAAATCATGTGCACGAGGGTTTAGGTTGTAAACCTACCAACAGCAAGTACTAATGTGACTTTTTTCGAGTTATACGTACTTTCTAAAATTATTTAGACACCACTGACAAATGGCGAAGGAAAATATCGTGAGGAAATCTGGACTTATAATTTCTAATTATGAGTTAGAAATCGCTAACCCGCATTGACCAAGCGTGGTGATAAATGCTCAAACCTTTACCGTGCGATAAGAGGCCTTTGGTCAACAGTGGCCACTTATAGGCTGTTGAGGTGTGACGTATATCATAACTTTAACGTTCAAACTGATGCTTTGAACTATATTAAGGGTTCTATGGGTTCCTATGCCTGAAATAAACCATTTATTATTACTATATTGTATAAGTTACAACCACCAAAGTGATACTTCCATTAGTACTCAGGAGATCAGCTCAAGTATACAAGTATACAGCCTAAGTCTCTGAGCCATCCATCAATCCAGTGTGACATGTGTCTAGCAGGTCATTAGGAGCCGATATCTCTCGCAGCAACCATTAGACATGTATTGAGAGAAGTTTTTCTAAATTTTGTATTGAATTTAGACTTTTTGTGTTTCGTTAGATGCCCTGGTTGGGACCAGGTAAGGAGTTTTTAGGACTAAAAAAGAGGAATGAGTATTGTCAGTATTTTTTTACTCCTAATTTTGACCCAAATTGAGATGTCTAAAAGTTTAAAAAGAAATGTAAATATTAGTATAATTTTTTTTTTTTGGTATAAGTCAGTAAGAGCTCACGGATCACCTGATGGTAAGCAATTGGCACCGCCCATGGACACCCGAAACACCAGGGGTGTGGGACACGTGACATACCACAAAGTGGTACAAGTGCCTTTTGGGGATTAGGAATTTGAGGATTTTTGGGGATTCGGGGATTGGGACTCACTCACACAACGAAACCGGTCCGTTCGAGTCGACCCATTCGTGCCCAAGCATGGCTCTCCAACACTTGAGCATTAGTTGTGTTATTGCTATGGGTTCATATTATCTATCTACTCGTAAGTATATACTATAGTAATTTTGCATAAAATTACAATCATATCATATTGCGTTGAAACTTTTGTTCAATATTACAGTTTAATAAAGCTTTCATAATTACATTTGATATGCGAAACTAAGTTCAAGACAAATCCACACATTCTGTTAATTAACCTTTACATTAATATTAAACCATACTACAACAAAAAACGATAGCAGAAGCATTTTTCTCCATCTATTCAGAATTTCATAATCCGTTTATACTGAAAGGATTACAGTTTTTCATCGCAACAATAGCAATTTTATAAAAGACAGCGTTTATGCAGAACCCATTGAAGGCAACGTCGCTTTTTAAAATGTTATTATAAAAGATGTTTAATACAATGTTTGGATTAGTAGTTTAATATGCAGTGAATGAATTTTCTAATCTATTGTGTATCTTTAAAGCCGAAGGCAGAAATGAATTATTTACCACCACGACAATTCTCCTCCGGGTATCGTCAGATCTGACCGAGAAGTTTTTTATGGGATAATCTGGTAAACGATCAGATGGATCACCTGATGGTAAGCAATCGGCGCCGCCGGCGGCAGAGGCGTTACCGGCCTTTTGGGGATTAGGAATTTGAGGATTGTTGAGTATTCAGCGATTGGGGAGATTGAGGATGAATAATTGGGCCTCCGGTAACATCACTCACACGACGAAACACAACGCAAGCGTCACTTCACGTCGATTTTCTGCTCGGCCGTAGTATCACTCCGGTCGAGCCGGCCCATTCGTGCTGAAGCATGACTCTTCCATATTTGACAGTTATACATTTGACAGAGATGGGCACACTGTGATCCGACTCGGTGGCTAAGTGAAACAAATCCTCTAAAATCCCAACCAGACATATAAATCCTTTATTGTAACATAAAATATTTATTGACTCTGCTTTCAGTTTCATGATTAATCAACAGCGTAGTCGTATATTACAGACGTACATACATATTACAGCTACAAAATCCTGTTCACCGTGTGCCTGTAGTTTTAATTTCCGGTAGCGTTGCGTCGGTAAGGAAATGTCAATCATCGAACTTTCATTCACAGTGTGTCGAATACAGTTCGATTTTGAACCGGATTTTCTTTTTAATTGAAATGTATAATTTAATGTGATAAAGAGTCTAAATATCAATATATTTTGGACGGTGGACTGATGGAAACTGTGTGATAATGGCTGTGTAGAATACTCCTCTGCTTTTAAAATAGACTTTGAATTTTCATACCTCGTCATTAACCCTAATCTCACGGCAATCAGGGTTACGTAAAAGTTAGTTCTTGACTAATAGGTACGATATATCCTTCACAATTCGTCAAAATATATGATTTATTGTTTTTGAATCAAACTTTTTTCGTTTTTAATATTAAAACGAATTTCGGTTTTCATCTGTTACATTTTTCTTGGCGAGGAAAATAAACAAAAACTTTATCCAATTAGCAAAGTTTCGAGTTCAAATAACAGCGATATTAAATTACTTTAGAAGCGAAGAATTTTGGTCTTACTTGTTCTTTCAGACCTATAAGTTTCAGTTCATCTAAATTGTTTTATGATAGGCCTCTGATATTTAAGTACTAAGGAATTTTTGATTACTAAGTACTTAGGTGTCCAGAATTTTATTACTTCGAAAATATTTTGACTTGACTTCGAACTTGACAACCACTGAACTATTAACAAGGCCAAAGCAAATAATAATCTATCAGATAGTATTAATAAAGGCAACAATCTGACAAGTACCGAGATAGCACATGAATAAAATAAAACCTTACTAAATAATAAAGATCCATCGACTTTAACCAAAACTGTAGAATTTATCTTTAGAACATTTTCAATTCCAATTTACTCAATCGTAATGGGAACTGACTATTCTATTATGCCAACGCTCCCTTGATAATGTACCTTAATTTGTCGCAAAATGGCGTCCTATTTTAATTCGGCGTCTCTGATTGGTGGTGACGTAAACACGTTAATTTCCTTGCTGTTCATTGGAAGCTTTTGCTGTTTATTTATAAATTGTTCATTTAGTTTTATTGTAGTTGTCTCTGTTTAAGTGGTATTGGCTTTTTGTAGTTTATTTCGTAGACTAATATACTTTAGGTCTTTGCTTGCTTATTTACTTGAGGACTACCTAGATCTTCTGCATTAGTTAGTATTGTTAGCAGGTCATTTGTATTTTTAGTATTATTTGTTGATTTATTGTCAACGATGCCATCATGTCTTCACTACTTATTTCACATACTTCGTCTAAATCCGTCCACCGTTTATTTGTATTATTATTTTATATGTTCCTATCTATTACCAAACTCTTTGAACTTTTTCTCACTTCAACATATTATATACATATTTTTTTCAACCAAGAGATTTTATCTCGAGACTTCATGATTAAGCTTCTTGACCAGCGACCTGCTAACTAATGTTTACGTACTTACATATTTATAACTATCTACTAAAGAATTGCTACTATACCTGCATGATCCAGGAGCCGTTCCCAGCGAATGTATATCCAGCGTGCACAAGGTGCCTGTGTCGAGTAAAGGAGCTGAGCAGGTTCCGCATGCACTGCATCAGCGTGTTCATCTGAGGGTGGATCAGGATCTCCGTCACCAGGTTCTCTGAAGCGAACTGGATCAGACGTTCGCCTGGAAAGAAAATTAGACATTATAGTCTGGCATTTAAGGTCAATTTTCTATGAGAAGATTTATTTCTGCTTCTTTTTTATTTTAATTTGCAACAGTGTATGGTGTAAGTTTTCTAACAATTGGATTATCATTATGGCTTACTAAAAGGTTATATACGAAATGCAAAGTATTTTCAAACGGCTTTAAATTTAATTTTTTTCTTGTATTAATAAGGTATGTATAAATAATCCTTCAGCGTTTGTGTCTCATTCCTGTTATTTTGGAGTACTACCGCATTTAAACAAAGAAATAAACCTTTCTATCTACTATTATAGAGTCGATTTCTCTATACCATAAAAGCCATACAACTACAAATTCTTGTATACGTTTTCCACTAAGTCAACATTATTCCATGTAATACAAATACTGGTTACATAAGATCCATAAAATCTTTCCTCGTTCTTAATATTCGTGGTTCGTGGTTAAGTAATATATTGCATGTTGCCAGCCCATAAAATTACGTTAGGACAATCTTTAGTTTTCGTCCCATTTTTGCTGGTTCAACCGAATGAGGTTTCATTGTAATACGGTTTATCATTGACATATTTTTATTTAGTGTTTCGTGGATTGTGTTTTGTTTCTTTTATTAAGTGTGTGTGATTTATTTTCCTAGCCGTTAAGTTATTGTAGCTCATTGAGATTTATTATTGTGTAACCAGTCTCCAGAGCTATATCTGTGCAATATATTAAAATTTGTTCAGCGATTTTAGTATCTTATACTAATATATAAAGCGGAAGAGTTTGTTTTTTTGTTTTTTGTTTGAACGCGCTAATCTCCGTAACTACACGTCTGATTTGAATAATTCTTTTTGTGTTAGATAGCGCATTTATCGAGGATGCTATGGGTTATGAAACATCACACTACGAACAATAGGAGCTGAGCAGAGCGTGTGAAACCGCGCGGAAGTAACTACTCGACAATATAAATAAATTTTTGTATCTCATCATCATGTCATGGGTATCAATGAAAATTCTGCTTCATTAAATTTTATGGTTCATAATAATCTATCGAATCCAGGTACCAGCTTCTTACTGCCAGTGTTAGTAATTCTAACGTCTACTTCAACGCTACTAAAGTTAATGCTAACCTTCATTACATAGTTATCTAACCCGAACCGTACCGCAAACAGACATAATTTAACCTAACCTTGAGCAGCCCACGCCGTAAGTAAAAATATGAAATCCATGGCGACAAAAAAGGTACCGCAGTGCGCCATTCCAAGCACCGTTATCGAGACATCTCCATTCACTCCCATTGACTTCCATTCATTCGTTCACCTCATTCACCTTCCCATTCATTGCGTGACGTCATTTATTTGATTGTTCCTCTTAATATAATTCGTGTTTGGCTTTATCTGCTGCCATTTTGTTTGTGTGAGCTTGAAGTGAGCAATCGACTTGGTGATGAAGTGTTTAAATTAAGTGTTAGGGTAGTTACTGTTGATGAAGTGCGATTTAGTTTTATCTGATGTTCTTGGTGACTTGAATTTGTTTGGATCAGGGTAGAAATGTTATTGAAATTATTTCTTTTACGCTAGTAAAGGTTTATGTAGGGTAAAAAAACTTTGAAAGTCAAAGTCAAGGCATTTATTTTAACGAATACTTGATTAGGAATTTTTGAAATGTCAAAATTTTAATATCTTGCGCTTGTTTCAAAGTGAAGTTTCGAATCGAATGGAGAAGAACGAGCAAGAAACTCTATCGTATAAAAACATGCCATCGCGAAGGACACACCGGGCGTCGGGGATCGCGGGACGATCTCCGGCCCCCGTAAGCGCGGGCCTGCGGACGGCGAGCATGGGTGGCTCTCCGTCCGACCAGAAACAGACCCGAGCGTACGGCGCGTCTTGTTCCGCGCGCAAGAGCCATCAGACCACCACAGATGGGGCTCAATAGGGCCGATGCCGAATCGGAGTTGCGGAGAACCTAACGAGTAACCGGGGCTCCGGCTCAACGTGCCGGAGAAGGAACGGGGTGGTTTTTAGTCAGTAAGAGTATGACACTCCCTTCCACCTCACCCAGGCGGGAGAATTCATTCGATGATTTTCCCCCCTTACAAAAAACCATTTTGACAAAGCAATTAAAGAATTAAATATTGTGTGTTCCAATTAATATGTATACTTGAAAACCTCAACAAAACGCTACCGACGGAACTAATAACGATAGTCATTTATTCAATTCACAAACAACCATACGTAGATAGGACAAAACTCATGAACATATTAATCATGACAATGACAACGTATCGGATCAAAAAATGTAACATTAAACCTGAAAATAAATAAAAATGTCAAACCTTGATCCATCGTATCAATTAGTAGCCAATTTGTAGCCGATCGATATTGAATTAATAACAGCGGCCATTGTTACCAGAAGTCAAAGGCTCTCGAATTTTTCGCTTCCCTTCGTTAATTGTTGTACCCCAACAAAAGATTTTTTGTTAATCCCTTTTCTAACAAAGTGAGTGGAATATTGGAAGTTTAATTATGTCGTGTCTGTAGGGAACGTAGGTTTGAGAGACTAGAAAGAAACTGGACAAAGGTAATCGAGTTAGATATTTTTATATCGAGAAGTCTACTAGGTACGCGAAGGAGAATATCATCATCAACATCATCAGTTAAAAAAATAACTACGTTTTTATAGAATTTCCTATATGCATGTTTCAATCAGGATCAGCTTAACACAATTTAAAACACCAGTTAAGAGAACTAAATAATACTTAAAAAAAATATCTAAAAGACATGATTGCAGATCCAGTCAATGATTCTATAAGTTTCACATTTGAAAGGAAATTCATTTATTCAAATAAAAAACTTAAATTAAAAACTAACTATTACTTAAAAAAAAAAAAATTAAAACTAAATATTACTAAATTAAAACTAAATATTACTAAATTAAATACCTATATACAACTAAAGATTAAAATTAATTAAAAGAAAAAACAAAAACAACTATTTACATAAAGCGTCGAAAAATTCGTCCGCATCGACGTCAGTGGGGAAAGTACCCAGAAGGCTGGCAGCATTGCCACGTTGTATGGCAATGCTTAGCCTCTGACCGAGAAAAAGACCAGCCCTCTGGTCACGAGATGTGTCAACCAGGCGTTTTGAAATGTTTTGGAACAATTTAAGTGCACTCGGACCCCACGGACCTAGCGTCTCAACCCCAAACGGCTCAAAGATATAACTACCAAAGTAAAGTTTACCGGCGTTCATCTCTTCTGTCCACAGCACTAGAACGTTAACAAATAAAATTTTAGCTGGTGTTGACGCTGAACCTGATGTGCCGTGTCTGACCGACGCGATGAACGTCTGGACAGAAACATGTCCCAATACAGCCTTGCCTGTCAACCCTTCCTCCCAGAGACAATGGGACGAGCCGCTTTGCAGGTTGGTGCATAATAATCTAATTAATACCAGCACCAATCCTGCGGAGTTAGCTCGCCTATTGGCTGTGGGTGAGTGGGAATCAGGCCTCTGGCTTCAGGCACTTCCGTCACTCAATATTGGCACGATGTTGAATGACTCAACTTTTCGGCTTGCTGCTTGCTTGCGTGTAGGTGCACCCTGTGTTTCTCCGCATCGCTGTCAATGCGGTGAGATGGTCGACCACCTCGGCCACCACGGCCTATCGTGTAGCAGAAGCGCGGGCCGGATAGCTCGACACGCCAGCATTAACGACATTATCCGCCGAGCTCTTATCATCGCCGGTGTGCCAGCTGTTCTGGAACCAAAGGGTTTGGCACGCGACGATGGTAAGAGACCCGACGGTATGTCCATTATGCCCTGGAAGCTGGGAAGGTCTTTGGTGTGGGACGCAACCTGCGTTGACACCCTTGCACCTTCTCATCTTCCAGTAACGGCGGGTTGTGCTGGTTCGGCTGCTGCCTCTGCAGAAAGCCTCAAGCGGCGCAAGTATAACAACCTTGCTGGTAGTTATATCTTTGAGCCGTTTGGGGTTGAGACGCTAGGTCCGTGGGGTCCGAGTGCACTTAAATTGTTTCACATTTTAATTAAAAATTAACAATCCTTTTGAAGATCATTATCTTAAATACGGACTTAATTAGGATTACCATTTCGCAGCTGAAACAATTATAAAACACCTCGGGCTCTTCCGAAAATTCCGAAACAAAATGAAGGCAGGATTTCAATCAACTGCGATTGTTTCAAAAACTTATAAATGTCGGAATTCTGTTGAAACTCTCCGAATATAATAATTTGAAAGAAAAATATTTGATATCAAACCCTTAATAAGTTTTTGGGATCGTATTGTTTTATAAAATATTGGATCTTAATTGAGTTGGGTAAAACATTATTGGATGTATTAATTTCCAAGTGTTTTCCGATGCCCGATTTTTGTTCATCAAAGTACTACTTCAGTGTTCTAAATAAAAACAATTAACGAACAAAATCTTAAGTAGAAAACTTGTGTTGGTAATCACACACACGACACAAGAGACAATCCTTGTGTAGACCAAATTTTTTTATTGAAAATTTGAAATAGGTATTAGGTATTGTTCATTATATTTCTATTCAAAGTTATGATTTTTATGTTAAATACACCAAAGATCTGAATCAATTCTTTCTAACCTATACATTTCCTTAAAAAAATCCCTGGCGTTACAAAAATGATGGCATATCACAAAGCTTATTGGAAAAGTGTGAAAAATAAACGATATTGACGAACAAAGGGCTTTGTTCGTGTGAACATGGAAGGGAGACAATACTTGACTGGCTTTGACACCAAACAAGAGGTGGCCTTCAGAATGTGGATCATGGGGTTGTTTGATATGAAGGTAATAGGGAAATTGTTGTTTAGACCCAATAATTATTATTGGGTCTAAACACCTACCTAAGTTGTTCTTTAAACTGTCAAACACCAAGCGGTCACCGGTGACCGCGACCTATTGTTCTTTAATTGTGTCTATAAAACCGGTACTCGACGAGTTAAACAAGCCTGTT